TGACCCATGGAAGCAGCGCCGGTTCATTGAGCCTTTGGGAGTGCAATACCTGCAACAGAAAAAACACATACAGTGGGGCAAAAAAGTATTTAGTCAGCCACCGATTGTGCAAGTTCTCCCACTTAAAATGATGACAGAGGTCAGTAATTTTCATCATAGGTACACTTCAACTGTGAGAGACAGAATGTGAAAAATAATCCATGAATTCACATGGTAGGATTTTTAAAGAATTTATTTGTAAATCAGGGTGGAAAATAAGTATTTGGTCACTTCAAACAAGGAAAATCTCTGGCTCTCACAGACCTGTAACGTTTTCTTTAAGAAGCTTTTCTGTCCTCCACTCATTACCTGTTTTAATGGCACCTGTTTGAACTCATTATCTGTATAAAAGACACCTGTCCACAGCCTCAAACAGTCAGACTCCAAACTCCACTATGGCCAAGACCAAAGAGCTTTCGCAGGACACCAGGAAAATAATTGTAGACCTGCACCAGACTGGGAAGAGTGAATCTACAATAGGCAAGCAGCTTGGTGTGAAAAAATCAACTGTGGGAGCAATTATCAGAAAATGGAAGACATACAAGACCACTGATAATCTCCCTCGCTCTGGGGCTCCACGCAAGATCTCATCCCGTGGGGTCAAAATGATCATGAGAACGGTGAGCAAGAATCCCAGAACCACATGGGGGGACCTGGTGAATGACCTGCAGAGAGCTGGGACCACAGGAACAAAGGTCACCATCAGTAACACACTACAACTGCAGGGAATCAAATCCTGCAGTGCCAGACGTGTTCCGCTGCTGGAGCCAGTGTATGTCCAGGCCCGTCTGAAGTTTGCCAGAGAACACATGGATGATACAGCAGAGGATTGGGAGAATGTCATGTGGTCAGATGAAAGCAAAGTAGAACTTTTTGGTATAAACTCAACTCGTCGTGTTTGGAGGAAGAAGAATACTGAGTTGCATCCCAAGAACACCATACCTACTGTGAAGCATGGGGGTGGGAACATCATGCTTTGGGGCTGTTTTTCTGCTAAGGGGACAGGACGACTGATCCGTGTTAAGGACAGAATGAATGGAGCCATGTATCGTGAGATTCTGAGCCAAAACCTCCTTCCATTGTTGCAAGTTCCTGCGGGTCAAAAACTGGTGAGAAACGAGGGTCACAGAAGGGTTGCAGAGATAAGAGATCAGAACTTGCTTCCGGGAGCAAAACTGGGCAGAAGGTCAAGAAGCGTCTGACCCAACCTTCAGCAGGAGAAGTGGGACTGAAGGAGGCAGAGTGAAAGGAGCTCATCAGGAGAGCTCATCAGGAGACAAAAGGCCTTCATGGAGAATGCTGGACTTTGGAAGAAACTGAAGATCTGCTGCAAAGATGACACCAAATGGCCTGTGTTAAGCTGAAAACCCTTCATGAAGGATCCTGCACGTAGCCAAAATGACACCAAATGTCTTGTGTTGAACTAAAAAGTGCAACTGGTAAATGACCCCATGACCTTACTGTCATGTAATATGATATATGTGAAACTAGAAGACTTTTTACCTTGTCTAGGCTGTTCCAAGAAGAGTATAAAAAGGGGGCAGCAGAGAGGAGCAAAGAGTAGCAGGAGAGAGTTAGTGAGCGTGTGTTAGAGGGCATTAGCTTGAAGAGAAGAAGATTTAGGCTTGGTGTAAGCCAACTCATTATTCTTAGATAATTATTAGGATTAATTTCTCCTTGGGGGAAGTGATCAGTTTTATATCTACCCATTTTTTGTATTTTTTGATCTTGTAATAAACTTTTTGAAAAATAATCTACATTCCTGATTCTTAAAGGTCCTCTTTAAAGGTTCAAGTGGGAGCCTCAACCTATCATAAGGAGAGGTCAGCACATTAATTACAGGTTCCTGAATTATCAGGATTTGCTTTACGGTTTGTGACAGATTAATAAAAAGAAACCTTAAGTAAAGAAGCTTGTCTTCTCCTCTCCCGTGAGTAACGAGATGTCTTAAGGATGATAAGCCAAAACATTAGTAGGTTAAATTAGGCTCTGTTTGCAAGTGTGAAAAAGTCTCCGCCAGCGTGGGTAGGTTGGATTAATTAGATAAATTGATAAATTTATGTTAGCCTGATCAACTAACAAGAATCATTTTCTAGTTACCAACGCCCACAAAAGCTGACAGAGGCACAAATTAATCCAAATATAACCCAAAGAATTGTCAGCGACAGATGGCCACCCGCTGAACTTTGCCCTAGTATCTAAAACCACTAGATAACGGGAGTATCTAAAAGGAAGTGTGCTCTCACAAAGAAACAAGAATGGCATATCATTTCTCCTTAAAATAGGAAACTGATTCTAATTAGGGGGTCCAAACCAGGGTCTAGTACAATAAAACTCACCGACGCCCCACGAACCCTGAGAACGCGCACACCGTCTTAATAAGTTCTAACGGAACCAGGTTTTAAAGGAATCGACAAATAGGACGTGCTTGCGACACCATCAGTGAGAGCTTTGAAGATGAAATGTGGCTGGGTCTTCCAACACGACAATGATCCCAAACACACCGCCCGGACAACAAAGGAGTGGCTCTGTAAGAAGCATTTGAAAGTCCTGGAGTGGCCTAGCCAGTCTCCAGACCTCAACCCCATAGAAAATCTGTGGAGGGAGTTGAAAGTCCGTGTTGCTCGGCAACAGCCCCAAAACATCATTGCTCTCGAGAAGATCTGCATGGAGGAATGGGCCAAAATACCAACTACTGTGTGTGCAAACCTGGTAAAGACCCATAGTAATCGTTTGACCTCTGTTATTGCCAACAAAGGTTATGTTACAAAGTATTGAGTTGAATTTTTGTTATTGACCAAATACTTATTTTCCACCCTGATTTACAAATAAATTCTTTAAAAATCCTGCCATGTGAATTCATGGATTTTTTTTCACATTCTGTCTCTCACAGTTGAAGTGTACTTATGATGAAAATTACTGACCTCTGTCATCATTTTAAGTGGGAGAACTTGCACAATCGGTGGCTGACTAAATACTTTTTTGCCCCACTGTAAATGTCATGGCATTAACTTGAAAAAGTCCAGGGCAACACAAATGTATGCTATTTATTATCACAGAACACAAATCAGCTACAAAGTAGCAACTTGTTTCAGAGTGAGTTGGATTCGCAAAGTTATCAGAATTTTGATTGATTGTTACCAATGAAGTTGTAGTGAAAGTTGTAAAAGTGACTTACCTTTGCATGAATGATCACAAATTCGCAATGACGAGGCTTAAAAATATCCAAATCGTGAACCCAGCCATTGGTAAACTGAATGTGCGCCTCCAAAGACTTGTAATTCTGAAACTGTTTTGCGGTGTAGGCACCGATTCCACAGACCACATACGAAAATATATCTGGGAAGGACAAAGGGGGTAGATCGTCTGGGTCTCTTCGCCATTGCCGTAGCTCATACGGGTCCACATTTCCAAGACACTCGATCTTCTGTAAGTGTCTTTTTTTGGCATCCGGACGCAATTTGTCTCGATATATTCCTTTCTCTTTGGAGCTGATTTTAAGCATGATTAGTTACCTTCTTCTCTACCACTTCTCTCGTTTGTTTTGGTTTGTGGGCAATAAAGATGGCGCAGCAAAACCACAATGCATTGCACAATGACGTCGGTTCCAAAGCCCTATGGGATGGCAGGGGGTCTGGGACCCTGTTCTCCCCCAGAGAGAGCAACCATCTTCAGAGGCACTCGTTCACTGTTGGATCACAGGTGGGGGGAGATCGAGGGAGAGTGAAGAGTACATTGGCTCCTTCAGTTGATGTCCTCACCAGGATAAGTCCACCAGTCCATGGTCAGGTTTTCACAGGATCTGTCTGCATTCCTTCGTGGGGGATTTAACTTCTCGCAGTTTAAGGTTACCAGGGCGCCAGATTCAGATTGAAAGAATTGTTGGGGTCAGGCAGAGATAATTTTCTCTCTGCCTTTCAGTCTTTAAATGATCGTTCCAGTCCCTCAGTGAATCCAATTTTTGGGCTTAAACTTGCCCATACCGAGCATTGACTTTCTCCGAGATCACATTAGTTTTGCACACTAACACCGGGATCCAGAGGTGGAAAGTAACGAATTATATTTACTCACGTTACTGTAATTGAGTAGCTTTCTTTGTATATTTATACTTTTTAAGTCATTTTTTAAAGCTGTACTTTTACTTAAGTTTTTAAAAAAGAATTGTAAGTCGCTACATTTTAAACCGTATCCGTTACTGAGTAAAAATAAATTGTTGGCTCAGTTAATTAAAAATACTGCATGCAGCAGCGTTGGAACAGAAAGAGACACCTGCATGAGCGCCGTGTCTAAACCGTGGGGGGGTACACTTGATAATGAGGACAAACAGCCATTTTTACCGCAGTTTTGCTCAAAAACATCAGTTCAGTCCCTGTGATCCACTCGCTGTTTACCTCCTCTCTCCCTCTCCTCCTGTGGGTTGGAACCCGCACCTTCGCGCACCGGTGTGATGTCATCAGAATTCTGCTCGGTTCCGTAGCCGGACTCGTTTCCATGTTTGAAATGGGTTTCCCTACCGCTCCGCACTGAGCTGAAGGTCACCAACAGACCAGCATGGGCTCTCATAACACCTGAGCAGCACCACAGACTGATAGACTCCATGCCACGCTACATTGCTGCTGTCATCCAGGCCAATAAGGCCCAACTAAATATTGTAGAACCTAGAAGGCATTATATAAATACAGGCCTTTTACCAGAGTTTGAGGTTGTCAAGACAAGGCCACCAAAACAGAAAAATGAGAAAATTAGAAAAATTTGATCAATTCTAGTAATTCTACTTTTTTTAATATTTATACATTCACCTCAGCTAAAAAAAAAAGTCACTCAATGCAAAAGTTAATTCATGTTCTCCGAGTTAGTTCTGATCTCACCAACTTAAACCAGTAATTCAACTGTTTGTTGATATATGTGTGAAAATAAAGTTACAGTGGTTAATTCACATAATGTGTTCCTGTTTCCCATAGATGTTCTCCAGATGGTTAAAGAAGAAGCTCCTGAAGATCAGAGTGCTGGTGTGGACCAGCAGCACCCAGAACAGTTCCACATAAAGGAGGAACAGGAGGAACTCTGGACCAGTCTGGAAGGAGAGCAGCTCCTTTTGAAGAAGGAGACTAATTCTGCCAGGTTTCCATTCATATCAGGTTCTATAAAAAGTGAGGATGATGAAGACAAACCTCTGGTCTTACATCTTCTTTATCAGCAGCAAATAGAGGACAGAGATGTTCCAACCAACAGCTCAGCTGACCAGACAACAGCAGAAACTGGCAGAGAAGCAGAATCTAGCAGGAACCCAGTTCTGAACCCCGATGAACAGATATCTGATTCTTCAGAGACTGAAGTTAGTGGAGATGATGTGAATCTAAATGTTGAGCTATTAGACTCTAGTTCTGAAACTGGAGATGGAGACACTGACTGCAATGAGAGCAGGTCTTCTGAGTCAGATATTAAGACTGTCAACAAATCCTTTTGCTGCCTCGAGTGTGGTAAAGAGTTTCTCCACAAGTGGTCTCTCCAGAGACATGAAAGAGTGACGAGCCATTCAGCAATAAGATCTTCAGGATGTGTGGTTAATAAGAAAAATGTTAGAGTAAAGCAACATGTAGACTTTTGCAGGAAAGTCCAGAATAACCCAAAAACATTTAGTTGTGACATTTGTCACATTCATAATAAATGTTTAAACAGACACATGAGAGTCCACACAAGAGAGAAACCCTTTGCCTGTGAGCTCTGTGAACAAAGATTTAGCCATAAATCCACATTAAACCGTCACACAAGAGTCCACACAGGACAGAAACTGTTTGCGTGTAAACTCTGTGGAAAAAGCTTTACTCTAAAGACAACTTTAAACACTCACATGAGAGTCCACACAGGACAGAAACCCTTTGTGTGTGAGCTCTGTGGAAAAAGCTTTACTCTAAAGACACATTTAAATGATCACATGAGAGTCCACACAGGACAGAAACCGTTTGCGTGTGAACTCTGTGAAAAAAGCTTTAATCGAAGGACAAATTTGAACACTCACATGAGAGTCCACACAGGACAGAAACTCTATGCCTGTGAGTTATGTGGACAAAGATTTGGCTATAAGAAAAATTTAAACACTCACATGAGAGTCCACACAGGACAGAAACCGTTTGCGTGTGAACTCTGTGGAAAATGCTTCAATCGAAGGACAATTTTGAATACTCACATGAGAGTCCACACAGGACAGAAACCGTTTGTGTGTGAACTCTGTGGAAAAAGCTTTACTCGAAAGACACATTTAAACAATCACACGAGAGTCCACACAGGACAGAAACCGTTTGCGTGTGAACTCTGTGGAAAAAGCTTTACTCTAAAGACACATTTAAACAGTCACATGAGAGCCCACACAGGACAGAAACTGTTTGCTTGTGAACTCTGTGGAAAAGGCTTTACTCTAAAGACAACTTTAAACAATCACATGAGAGTCCACACAGGACAGAAACCCTTTGTGTGTGAGCTCTGTGAACAAAGATTTAGTCAAAAATCAACATTAAACACTCACATGAGAGTCCACACAGGAGAGAAACCGTTTGCGTGTGAACTCTGTGGAAGAAGCTTTACTCTAAAGACACATTTAAATGATCACATGAGAGTCCACACAGGACAGAAACCATTTGTGTGTGAACTCTGTGGAAAAAGCTTTACTCTAAAGACAAATTTGAACACTCACATGAGAGTCCACACAGGACAGAAACCGTTTGCATGTGAACTCTGTGGAAAAAGCTTTAATCGAAGGACAAATTTGAACACTCACATGAGAGTCCACACAGGACAGAAACCATTTGCGTGTGAACTCTGTGGAAAAAGCTTTAATCGAAGGACAATTTTGAATGCTCACATGAGAGTCCACACAGGACAGAAACACTTTGTGTGTGAGCTATGTGGACAAAGCTTTAGTTTTAAGCCAACATTAAACATACACATGAGAGTCCACACAAGAGAGAAACCCTTTGCCTGTGAGCTGTGTGAACAAAGATTTAGTCATAAATCCACATTAAACAGTCACATGAGAGTCCACACAGGACAGAAACCTTTTGCGTGTGAACTCTGTGGAAAAAGCTTTACTCAAAAGTCGACTTTAAACAATCATATGAGAGTCCATACAGGACAGAAACCATTTGCGTGTGAGCTCTGTGGAAGAAGTTTTAATCAAAGGACAAATTTGAATACTCACATGAGAGTCCACACAGGACAGAAACCCTTTGTGTGTGAGCTATGTGGACAAAGATTTAGTTTTAAGCCAACATTAAACATACACATGAGAGTCCACACGGGATAGAAACCCTTTGTGTGTGAGCTATGTGGACAAAGATTGAGTTTTAAGCCAACATTAAACATACACATGAGAGTTCACACAGAACAGAAACCGTTTGCGTGTGAACTCTGTGGAAAAAGTTTTAATCAAAGGACAAATTTGAACACTCACATGTAGGGATGGGAACCGAATTCGGTACTTTTTAAGGTACCGACCGAATTCCATAGTACCGACCGAGCACCGATTCACGTCATTTCAAACGGTGCCTCGTTTCGGTACCCGTCCATCCTAACGAGAACTTGCCAAGACAGCTGCGCATGCGCAGGAGCGTTTTGTCGTCGCTTGCTGTGAACCAGTTGTAAACAGAGCAGCATGGTAGAGAGAACGCACTTTAAAGCTTGGGTCCACTTCACTCAATGTGATGGGTAACTGGATGATGAAACCAGCGACAACTATCTAAGTGAGACATCCTCATCTTAATCTGCTCCGGTAGGTAAATATAATTAGATTGATATATTAGCTTCCGTTTCGCTAATGGTGCGTTCGCTTTCTCCTCGGAACTCCGAATTTCCGACTAGAACAACATGAACGCGCTCTAAAGTTTGGCTTCACTTTACTAAATGTGATGGGTGAAGTCGAAACCAGTGACGATCTAAGTGTGAGGCATCGTTTTAATCTGCTCCAGCAGCTAAATAAACTGTTTAAGATGATATGTTAGCTTCCATTGCCACCATTGTTATCAGCTAATGGTGCGTTCGCTTTCTCCTCGGAAATTCTAACTTCCCAGTAGGAAAAATCAAATGAAAAAAGATGGCAAAAGGAATGAAGACACAGTAAATTTAGTTCACAGTAAAGATGTTTGCTTCAGTTTAATTATCAGCTTATAAAACTACAAGGGCAATGTTAAAATACAAACAGTTGTTTGTTATTTATTGTGATATTTATCAAATATGGTTATATATTGAGAAAAATATATATTTAATTATAAAAGAGAATTAAAATAATAAACATCAAAAGTATCGAAAATTGGTACCGTTAAGTACCGGTATCGATTCGTAGGTACCGGTAATTAGTACCGGATCGATTCAAATGTCAAAGGTACCATCCCTACTCACATGAGAGTCCACACAGGACAGAAACTTTTTGCCTGTGAGTTATGTGGACAAAGATTTAGCTATAAGAAAAATTTAAACAGTCACATGAGAGTCCACAAAGGACATTACAAATATATTTAAAGTGCACTTTTACTGATAAACAGTATAAGTATGTGACTAAAAATGCTGTAGACAAGTGAGGTCATTATTTTGGCATTTTTGTGCATCTTATGTAACCCTCCCACTGTCCCTTGAGGTCCATGTGGCAAGGGTGAGGAGTGAGCACCACCTCACCCCTGCCACGTGGACCTTAAGGGATAAACCATCAACCCTGCTCAATGGTGAACTTTCCTCGCAGGGTCACCCATTAGGACAGTGGAAGGGTTAGAATGTCAACATTCAGCTTGAAACTGCTCATTCTCCTCTGACCTCTAGCATCAACAAGGCATATTCGCCCACAGGACTGCCGCATACTGGATGTTTATCCCTTTTCACACCATTCTTTGTAAACCCTAGAAATGGTTGTGTGTCAGACACACTGGAAAAGTAAAGGAATCCTATACCTGGAACACATAAATAAAGGATTGGGCTCCATCCCATTTAATAGAATAGTCTCCCAATTTGGAATAGATAAGAATAGCTTTTTAGAATATCACCAAATTAAATCAATAGTTAAACAAAAGTTTAAGTGTAATAAAGTAGAATTACATACACCACCAAGGGTACTAGACTTATGTAATGTCAAACACCCCAAACTACTGTCCAAACTTTATAAGACACTGTCCAAAATAGATGATAGAATAGCAATCCCTATTGAAAAACGGGAGGTGGGTCTATCAGTCAGCTTTGACCAGAACTTCTGGTCCCAAACTTGTTTAAAAACTTTTAAAATGATCAGACACCCCAATTTACAATTAATTCAATTCAAAATTCTGCAGAGTACACTATACAGGTCATCGGATGTTCAGGATGGGGTTTGTGTCGTCTGACACCTGTACACACTGCACACACAACATTCCTGACAATTACATCCACGCACTGTGGTCCTGTCCACCTGTCCAGGAATTTCGAGGTAGAGTATGTGAAGACCTGTCAAAGTGTCTGAAATGTCATATCCCAAATTCCCCCTCTCTTTGTTTGCTGGGAAACCTAGGTCAGAAAAGTTACTGGCCCCGCTGAGAATCTACCGGCCCAGCAGGTCATCTGCTAAAACGAGTAAAAATCACAACTGAAAAAAAAAAAACAACAACATAGAATAAAAACAGAATAAAAAAGGAAAGGTGAGTTTTTTCAAACAGACATTTAAGAAAAAAGAAAAGAAAGAAAATGAAAGAAGCAAAACATGGCAGCTAAAAATACAAAAAATAAATTTAAGACTTAAAAAATGCTGATGACTTACTATGCAAAGCACTTCACAAATGGCTGCTTCCTACAGGGCGTGGTAGTGGTGTGACGGATCAAAATTTTCATGGTTTTCAGCCCCGGATCGGATTATTTTTCAGATCAGCAGAAAGAAAAGAAAAAACAAACAGCTTTGCTCTTTCTTTTTATTATGTAGAAGTGCAACATTTTCTGTTCAATTTGAGACTCGCTATAAAAGCAGGAGTTACAAGAGTTAGCAGGAGTATTGGAGCAGATGTAGCGTCCAGCAATGGTGAGTTTAGGTACAGCCTGACCTTTTACCATCTATTCAACATCTGGTCAGAAAGAAGACACAACATTGCAGGACTTTGTTTTATGAGGCTATGGCTATTGTTAATAGTCGTCCCTTAACTGTTTACAACATTAACGAACCTAACATACCTGAACCACTCACTCCTTATCGTCTTATCCTTATGAAGTCTAAAATCGCTTTACCACCACCTGGAACTTTTGTCAAAGAAGACGTGTATGCACTTCAAAGGTGGCGTGGAGTACAGTTTCTTGTAGAACAATTCTGGAGCAGATGGAAAAGAGAATATCTCAGTAACCTCTCTCAGACAAAAATGGCACAAACTGCGCCGCAATGTAAAGGTGGATGACATAGTCCTTGTTAAAGGTGATGTACTTCCAAGATGTCAGTGGCAACTGGGTCGTGTGATTGGCACTGCAGAGGGAAAAGACGGAATAGTCCAAAGAGTTAAGGTTCAGATGGGAAACAGAGGTCTGAATGGTAGACAGAACCGTGTGTCCGTTCTTGAACGTCCTGTACAAAAACTGGTTGTGTTAGTTGAGAGTTAAGTTTTTGCTCTTTGTTTTTAATTAGGAAGTAAAATACAGTACTGTTAACTGCCATTTGTCTACTTTAAAATCATGTGAAGTATTTTTTGCATAAATCATGATTTGGTGGGAGTGTAAATGGCTGCGAGCTGTTGGATTGTCAATGTCACTCATTCAATTGCATATAAGTGGGCGTTAACCCGGATGTGGACGTGGCGTTGGCATTCCACCTGGCTTGGCGTGTTGCAGCAGACCAAACTTCCACGTAAGTGCGGGTATTTTGACTAAAATTGATTAAATAAGAACGTGTCGCCCTAACAAATGCTTGTACATTTAGTCTATGGTCTTGCTGTGCCAAGCCTCTACGTGACATTACTTTGATTGCACCCCATGGCAAGAGGAGCAAGGTATTTGTTCTTTGTTTCTGTTTGTTGCTCCTGATTGTCAGCGATTGTCTTTAATTTGTTTGTAAATTATGTATTTTCAGTTTTCACGGTGTTTGCACATTGACCGGCACCAGGTGCTCGGTGCGATTCTGGGAATGAGATGTGTGCATCTACAGCCTGACGCAAATAAAAAGTTACACCCGTCGAAGCTCTCCTCCTTATTTCTCTTGGATGCCATGGGGCAGCAACAATAATATGGCCTCAGATAAGAATCTTGTGTCTGTTCTAGTCTTGTTAGATCTCAGTGCTGCCTTTGACACAGTTGATCACAATGTTCTTTTAGAAGGACTTGAACATGTTGTAGGGATCAAAGGTACAGCGTTAGGCTGGTTTAAATCCTACCTGTCTGACAGATTTCATTTTGTAAATGTACATGACAAATCGTCTTCATACTCCAGGGTTACTTGCGGAGTACCACAGGGTTCAGTGCTTGGACTAATTCTTTTTACTATATATATGCTCCCAATTGGTAAAATCATTAGACAGCATGGGATAAACTTCCACTGTTATGCTGACGATACTCAGTTATATTTATCCATTAACCCTGATGAACCTAATCGGTTGGGTAGATTGCAAGCTTGTCTTGAGGACATAAAAAATTGGATGATTCTTAACTTCTTGCTTTTAAATCAAGACAAGATGGAAGTTCTCATCTTTGGACCAGAAATCCAGAAAAGGAAATTGCTTAGCCAGTCACCTGACCTGAAGGGCATTACATTAATCTCCGAGAACAAAGTAAGGAACCTTGGTGTTATCTTTGACCAGGACATGTCATTCAAATCCCAGGTTAAACAGGTTAAAAACCTTTTCCACCTTCGGAATATTGCTAAGATTAGAAGCATCCTTTCCAGGAGTGATGCTGAAAAACTAGTTCATGCATTTATTACATCAAGACTGGATTACTGTAATTCATTACTCTCAGGAAGTCCACAGAATGTAGTTAAAAGTCTTCAGCTTGTCCAAAATGCTGCAGCTAGAGTTCTGATGAGATTTAAAAAGAGAGATCATATCTCTCCTGTCTTAGCTTCCCTACATTGGCTACCTGTTAAATTCAGAATAGATTTTAAGATCCTTCTTCTCACATACAAAGCTCTTAATAATCAAGCTCCTTCATAAATCAGTGATCTGATTGTTCCATATGCAGAGGTGGAAAGTAACGAATTACATTTACTCACGTTACTGTAATTGAGTAGCTTTTTTGTATATTTATACTTTTTAAGTCGTTTTTAAAAGCTGTACTTTTACTTGAGTGAGTTTTAAAAAAAGAATTGTAATTCGCTACATTTTAAATGATATCCGTTACTGAGTAAAAATAAATTATAGGCTTAATAAATTAAAAATATTACGTGTAGCAGCGTTGGATCGGAAATAGACACCTGCATGAGCGCCGCGTCTAAACCGTGGGGGTGTACACTTTTGCTCAAAGACATCATCAGTTCAGTCGATCAACTCGCTGTTTACCTCCTCTCTCCTCCCTCTCCTGTGGGTTTGAACCCGCACCTTCGCGCACCGGTGTGACGTCGTCAGAATTCTGCTCTGTTCGGTAGCCGGACTCGGTTCCTTGCTTGAAATGTGTTTCCTACCGCTCTGCACGGCAGCGGCAAAATAACATTTAGCGCTCATAACAAGCGGATTATCAGCGCTCTGCTCATAAAACAGAAGACCTGCAGGCCTCCGTGAGTTAAAACATCCTGATACTGTTCAGGTGTAAACATTGTGCTCCATCCCTGTGTTTGAACTCAGAAGATGCTCCTTGATGCCACAGATATGTGATGATTTAGCTTGTTTCTTTATTTTACTCCAGAATAAGAGATTAAATTATTACTAAAGCAGTTCAATGTAGTTAAATTAGTCATTCAAAAGATTCTAACATGCTGCAGTGTGTGTGTGTGTGTGTGTGTGTGTTACACATATAGAACTGCATGAAAAAGTGTGGTTTCATCAAATCCATGCATCTTAAATCTTGGCTGCAGTAATGGCTCAGGAAAATAACTCATATTTCATAAATAATGACGTCTTAATAGTGTCTACATAATGTTTTATCCTATCTTTAGTCTGGGAGGTGTAACTTATCATGACACGAGCCTTTTAAAACATGTTAATGTGCTACAAGAGGAGATGAATGCATTAATTTAAAGTTCATGTTTGGAGTCCAACCTTCACAGTGTGGAGGCTCACGCTGGTGAGGAGACACCGTTAGTTCTAGTAACACCTGGGCTCCCAAGGCCTGTTCTGACAGGATGGACGTTACGGGACCCTTAAGGATTCCAGCTGGATGATTGGAGGATTATTTAGGAGGATTGGAATGAACAAACTGATTTCAGTGGTGAAGGGTTAAATGAGTGAGTGAACCCACTACCAAGGATGAACTCTGCTAGCTTTAAACTTTAGCTGCTCTAAATAAGCATGAAGGTCAGAGAGGAGCTCTACGATGGACACGGATAAAGGAACTGTAATGTAGAGGTAAAGTAGGGCAGGGCCAACGTTAGCAGCTGTCATACGGTCCATCTGAAATGTTTGACTTTCATTTAGCTTGTTATGTGACAGTTTAGAGCACAGTCTCATGTTAGAGTTTTGTCATGAGAACATTGAGATACCTCACATACTGATGGCATCTAAAAAATTATTTTTTCTCAAAATAAAGAATAATTTTAATCACAATTGAAACTTACCATCCTAGAAAAACCTCGTCCAATCAATGTGCACGTCCTGTTCTCACTGATTGGATAGAAATCCCTCCTTCAAGCTGAGCGTGTGTGTATGTGTGTGCGCGCACACACGAGTGAATTGTGAACTGGCGTTGTGATTTAGCACTACTTAGATGTAGCCATCCTTACGCTGAAAAAAATGTAACTAAGTAACTTTTACTTTGAGTACATTTTGTTAACGATACTTTTTACTTTTACTTGAGTAAAAATGTAGGCAAGTACTTTTACTTGTAATTGAGTAAAAAATTATCAAAGTATTGGTACTTGTACTTAAGTAGGACATTTTAGTACTCTTTCCACCTCTGTCCATATGTTCCTAACCGAGCACTTCGCTCTCAGACTGCAGGTCTACTGGTGGTTCCCAGAATATCTAAAATTAGGATGGGAGGCAGATCTTTTAGTTTTCAGGCTCCTCTCCTGTGGAACCAGCTCCCAGCTTTAGTCCGTGAGGCAGACACTTTGTCTACTTTTAAGAATAGGCTTAAAACATTTTTATTTGATAGGGCCTATGGTTAAAATCTGATGTTACCCTTGATCTGAACAAGTGGGGGAGTAGAGGGAGGTGGAGTGTACAGTCGGTAAAGACGGCTCTCCCTTGCCCTGCCTCCAACATGCCTCCATCTAAATTGGATAGATTAACCTGAGTTATCTCTGTAGTTATGCTGCTATAGGCTTAGACTGCTGGAGGATACACTGACCACTTTCACATTCTACTACTTTCTTCTACAATCTGCTCTTTAACTGTATTATTTTGTGCTATTTCAGCTGTTAACTTTATTTTCTCTGTAAGTGTTTTTCTCCCCAGAAGAAGCTACAACGATGTTCTGCTGAGCTGTGGTGGCCTCATGGAGGGGGCCATCGTCTAGCACAGGGATTCCCAAAGTGTGGTGTCCGCACCCCTGGGGGTGCGCGAGCTGCCGCTAGGGGGTGCGCGAGGTGAAAAGTGTAATGGCTGTGGAGCTCAGAGAAGTCTGTCAAAAGTCACCATTAGTGTAGCCAGAAACTCATTTGTGGGTGGGCCTAAGAAAATGTAAGTGGCCCAATAAACGTAACTGAAAACAAGTATATTTTGCGTGTGTGTGTGTGTGTGTGTGTGTGTCCTCCGCACATGCCCTAGCTCAGGGGTCGGCAATCCGTGGCTCTGGAGACACATGCAGCTCTTCCATCCATCTGATGCGGCTCTCTGTGCTTGTAAAATAATGAATGGATATTTAAATAAAATGCTGTATAAATTTTACATCTGTATGCCAATTCTAAATGTAAAGATTGTCTGCATAAACCTGAACAGGTCCAACCCGGTCTTACTGTGTGACCGGGTTGACGCGTCACGCTTGTGCGTAATCATATAGGCGCTTCCTGAGCTGAAAACGTTGTGAGATTCTGGGACTCTCCTCAGACGCCACATTGGAGACAGGAACAAGCACAATTCAGCCAAAGTTTCATCATCAGGGAACATTTTCTAAGTGACAAGTCTCTCTGAGAGACCGGGTTTGGAAAACTCGCTTCAGTGGAAGGAATCTTCCTGCATGCGCTCTGGTTCTGCAACGCGTTCCAAGCCCCTCTCCACATCTTCACCTCGCTGTGCACCTTAAGTACGCGCTGACTGAGCGATGTCCAGCTCAGATGTTCAGAAGGAAATCTTTTCTTGAGTGATTTAGCTACATCTGCGATTTGCGAAACGAATACAGTGTCAATTCGTCTCCATGCGTCTGGGTAATTCTTTCTATTCTTTCTCCATCAAATTAAACAGTCAAATACGGGAGCTGTCCGGTCAACACAAGCCCTCCTTTTAACTGTTCTGTTTTCCTGTGAAAATTGTTACAAATTTAACTTGATTAACACCAGAGCCAGGCGCACTGCGCCGTTATCTCCGTCACTGTAAATGAGGGAAAAACAAAATGATCGGATCCTTTTCTGACCTTCCCCACCTACAAAGTTTAATTACAACAATCAAACGAGACAGAGTCTGGATTTGTATTCTGAACAGTCTAAACATGTTTTAAAAAGAAACGTATGACAAAAGTGGCACCTGCTTAGTAAAACCACCAACAGGGTGAAAAATATCTAAATATTGTAGGCAGAGACGGGCTACAACTTCTGGATCCACTTTATATAAATCGTTTTATTGATTATCGTCTTATGAAAGATAACTTTGACGTACACGAGCGACCGGTACCGGCTGCTGTCACCTGTTGTGAACAGCGCTCTGCTGTCTGAGGGTAGGCCCCGCCCACAACGCCGCGGCTGCTGCGGCGTTTTCTTTACTGTGGGAAACGGGTAATAATGGCTCTTTGATGGGAACAGGTTGCCAACCCCTGGTTTAGCGTGACGACTATATATATATATATATAGCCATGGCCTGATGTGGGGCTGGGGAGTGCGTTAACATGGTCGGGACATAGAAGGGGGTGCGCGGCTAAATAAGTTTGGGAACCACTGGACTAGCACACTACTGCTAACCACTTAAACATTCTCCCTCTCCTGATAATAACTTTTTGCTTTCCTTGACGTTGGATGTGCTACTACTAGTTTATCCGTTTAATTATAGATCCACTAGGATAAATACAATAAAGTTTATCTTTCACCAAATGAAATATTTACTAAGACTTCACAATATAACTATAGACACATTACTTGTGTGTGTGTGTGTGTGTGTGCGTGCGTGCGTGCGTGCGTGTGTTTGTGTGTGTGTGTGTGCGTATGTGTGTGCCTGCTCTGTCTTCTCGATCCCCAGTGAGTCGTGGAGGATGGCTGCTTATACTGAGACAGGATCCTCTGGAGGTTTCTTCCTGTTAAAAGGGAGTTTTCCTCTCCACTGTCGCTTTATGCTTGCTTAGTATGAGGATAGCTGTAAAGACTCTGACACTAGTCAGTGACTTGATGCAATTTGCTGGGTTCCTTATATAGGAAACATTATTTCTGATTGGCTTAATGAACTGACCTGAATTGGAATGTTTATTATGTGAAGTGCCTTGAGACGACTCTTGTCGTGATTTGGCGCTATATAAATAAACTTGAATTGAATTGAATAATTATTATTATTATATGAGCCAGGGAGGATAGACTTTATTCAGAGAGGATACATAAGAGTCCTGCGTCTCCTGCAGCCTTGATGCTGTTCTGGCACACCACAGGATAAATTAGGAGTATTGACTCAAGTTCATAGACTTCATATCAACATCAGTGTCAGATTGACCTGCATGAAGAAGTCTGGCCTGGTTATGTCACTAGTATGTGTGCTTTATTAGTCACACACTGAACACACAGGTTCTTGCTGTTCATCCAGAGTCGTGTCCACTAGGTGGCAGCAGTGCACCTTTACGTTGGTTGTACAGAAGAAGAAGAAACCCGGAAGCTGCTAGCAGCGCTAGCTTGTTGTTGTGCTGGTGTGTGAGGTGAATGAATATTTGAGTCTCTGGGAGAGTTGATCGGCTAAAGCGACTAACTGCTGCTGCTGCAGAAATCTTCTCACCAGGCTGTGGAAACCTTCTTCTCCTCCTCAACAACTTGGTGGACTTCTTTCCAGAACCAGAGAAGATATTCTGCGGTCTTCGTGGCAATCGGAGCTCCAGAAGCAGGTAATGGGTCAGAAAAGCTTTTCTCTAGACTTCCTGCCCTCTGGCTCTGCTGCTGTTCCTTTGGCCTCTCTGACAAACGCGCTCGTTTAGCTGCTTTCATCAGATTGAAGAGGTTCCCTCTATCAGACTCGCTCATCTGAGTTGGTCATGATGCAGGATCGCTGCTCGCTCTCTGATCCATCCTGCTCACACTCCGACGGAAAAGCCCCGAACATGAATGTGACTCTGGAGGAAAAAGCGGTTAGCTCTACTCCGTGACTGGGACCAAAATTTGGCCCTGGCCAAGGGCGGAAATACAATTTCAATTTTGGGGGGGACAATAAACAGTAAAACTTCAGAGAGTAATTTTTTTGGGGGGGACATGAAAAAATATGCTCTCTACATACAACACTGTATGTCCTTATAAGAGACTGACCTGAGACTCTGTGTCTGACAGGCTCTGGCTGCCTGTGCTCCAGTGACTGGACTTTGCCTAATGAAACCATTTTGAAACAATTTCATTTCTTTCTTATAGATGTCTTTATCAAAATGCAAGTTTCTACTTACTTGACGTTCTGGAGCATTAAAAAACGACCTGATGTCTGCCGTTTTTCATTTCTCTGCCATTTCATCTGACCTGGTCTGCTGACAGTTGGACAGCAACACACACACAGATGGGATGTTGTCATTAGAACGGAGCTGGAGGATATTGATCAACAATAATATCTTGCCAATTTTGTACACCTCCATAGCATCCTTTCTTTTTGTTTTCATTTCAATAACAAGACTGTGGCCTAAAACGGAATAAGCAATTCAGAATAAAGATTTAAAAGTAGATCGTTAATAGTTGAAGCAACATGTCCTGTAATGACACGGCTATTAGCTGACCAACAGCTACACGTGTGGACCGATGCAAAGCATTAATTTTAAGTACCAAAACATATCTAACTGTTTCACAACAAAGAGAGAGAACATAAATGTCAAAATAAAATTTTATTAAATCACATAACATGAAAGCTACTAAAATCCAAATAGTTCCATATTGATTTTAATATATTTGAACTTTTCCTTCTAAATATGTCAGAAAAAATAACAAACTTCAAATCAGCTTTCACAAGTCAAGTATCAGAATGACTGAAATCTCTTTAATAAATCATAGAAATGTTTGTAGGCTATTAGAGAATAACTGTAATATTTAATAACTTCATCTAAGTCCTACTGAACGAAAAGATACACAAAATCTAAAAATATATTCTTGAAATATTTGTTTCATTTTAATAATAAAAATTTAAAACATTAACTATACAAATACACTAAACATATACACACTCTATAGTTTATCTTTCAGTTTAATCGATCCCTCACTTTTCTCAGTTTTCAGAGTGTTTTTGGGTCTGTGTGGCCAACGGGATCTTTGGCTCTATGTTTTACACTGAGAGCTTTGAGCAACGTGCCTCCACCACACATTTGCTGCTAGTTCATCCCTAAGCTGCACGGGGCACCTGCACTTTGACCTGTTGTAAACAGCTGCAGAGCCTGGGGAAGACGGGATAAGAGTGGTTAAACGCTGTGGTTTTCCGTACATCGGACCAGTTTTGATTCTACCATATTCGTCTGCTAAATAGGATGAAACGCGGACATTTTCATCGATCTATAAATGCTCCGCAGATTCCATGGAAGACCGTGAAAGCGTACGCGTCCGGAAAAAGGAACTTTTGATCACCTTAGTGAATGGAATAATAATAGTGGAATAATCCTGGAATGACCAGAGAACATGAAGTGACAACTTTTTTTTACTGTGGTGGTGGTCTGTCATAAAGGGATCTCCGACCGACCGGTGATCAAAATCTAAAGATAATCGGTGTGTATGTTTGACATTTATGACCACATCTGACATACATATTTAAGTTTGTAGAACAAGCGTGTGATTATTGACTTACTGCAGGAAACCGCTGGCTTTTTGATTCCCACCTCCTGTGAGCCTGCGGGCTGCTGTGAAGCTGTGAGCGGGGCAGAGCCGGCAGCCCCACCCGTTGGAAACAGCGTGTGTGGACCGACCGTACCAACTTGAGGAATTTGGGGGGGGGGGGGGACTATAATTTCTCAACAATTAAAAACACATTGTTTTGTATTTGCAGACTAACTTTTACGTTGTGGTTTTAGAAGATAATACAGGTTTACTGATAGCATTTATGTGTTTACAATAACTTTTGTGGGGGGGGCAACTTTGTGTGAGGGGGGACGCGTCCCCCCTGGGATCTCCGCCTATGGCCCTGGCATTTTTATGAACCGTCGGCCTTCGGCAGGGGAGGTTGCTGCTCGCGACTCGTCTATCCCGCCATATGTGGGGGGAGGGACGGTGTTGTGTGTGCTGCTGGCGGACTTGTCTCTATAACCGCACGTGAGGCGGGGGCTTGGTTCGGGACGGCCCAAGCTGGGCAAGCGGTCCACCGGGACAGTGCCAGATAGGCCAGTCCACCCCTGCTGGTGACCAAAGGTCGTCTTTTCCAGACTGGATCTGTTCTCAGCTGATCAGAACCAAAGCGTTGGGTCTTTAATCCCCTGCGTTGTTCTGAAGCAGCATCTTAATCAGCTCTCCTGCTTTGTTTCTATTGCAGCTGTTAGCTAAACACGGCTAAAGAAAACCTGCTACCACTTCAGGATCATCCATCAGCTGGGACTGCTTCATCAGCATGGACACAGGTACTGGTGTGTGTGTGTGTGTGTGTGTGTGTGTGTAGGGACGTCTCCGGGCTTTATGAAACACCTGGGCTGAGCCTCATGATCACACAACACTATATTGGAGCAGGCGGAGGGAGACTAGGGATCTTAGCCACCTCTGTTGTTGCTGGGCTTCCTGGGGCTGGAGGCTAGGAGGGAGATCTGGCCGTCTTTTTGGGGTCTGGGGTGGTGGGTTGCTGTGCTCAGCGTTGGGCGGGGGAGCCTGCTCATCAGCACCCCAGCAGAAAGGGTCAAACTCTGGTTACCGGTGATGGTTGTACCCCATGTGCAGCAGTACCGGGACCAGAGTGAATAGGGTGTGTATGGGGAGCATGAGTGGGTGTCCGGCGTGCATCTTTGTAAGTCTTGGGTTGTATGTGTATGTGTGAGTATGAGGGAGGGAGTGTGTGACTGTGTTTGTGTATGACTGTATATGTCAGGTGGGGCCTTTGACTCCTCCCCTCTCCTGGAACTTCTCTTGATGATATAGATCTTTGTCCCCCCTCCCCCCGCCACACCTGGTGTGAGGGGTTGTGCCTTGGTCTGCCTGAGTGTTCGTGGCTCCCGGGTCTGGGGGTTTAAGATTTTGGCATCTGCCTGATAGATCCCGGTGGCTGCCTGGTGGGGTCTGGGTCCCTGGGCTCTGCTGGGTCCCCGGCGGGGGTGTTCGCCCCTGGGTCCCGGGTCGCTGGGTCCCGGGCTCGGCCGGCTAGGGGGTGGGAGGCTGTGGGCAGGCCTGTGAGCTTGCCGCTGATATCTCCCGGGACTCTGCCGGCTGCTGGTTTTGGCCCCCCGGGGCGATCCTCTGTGCCTCTTGAGGGGGGCGGGGGCCTTTCTGGTTGCAGTCTCCCTGGGGTTCCTGTGTTCTGGGGCAGCGCCTGGATCTCTGGGACTTGGAGCTCCCCCCGTCTCCTGCGCATCTTTGGGGGGCGGATCTGTGGTCCCTCACACTCTGTGTTGGACGCTCCTATAGAGAAACCTTACATAAACAAGCGCGTGTACACACACAGGTGCTCACATGGTGCTTTCATAAGTATGGGCTTGGGCACGTTCAACACAGGTCTTAAGACTATGGGGGGCACTTAATGCACTGTGATTTATTATCGTGATTCTTCAGTTAAGCAATGTTGATTTTATATTTCTTCATCAAGTCGATGCAGTGATAGCTTGATCCTGTTGTATTGTTGTTGTGTCCCATTTTTGTGTCCTTTTGCTTTTTTTTTGTCTTTTTCTGCAGGTCTAGAAGCAGACTCTTGTTCATTGTTTATTTTTGTGGACCCCCCCTCTCCCCCCATCTTTTGTCTCTTCCTTTCTCTTTCACCTCTGTCTCCGTGTCTGGTCAGAATTACAAAGCATTCAACAACAATAACAATAAAGTTTTAAGTATCAGGCGTGACATTAAAAGCAGACGCTTTGATGCTCCACCTGAGAGTAAATCTGTAAGGCTTGTCACCAGCATTCAGACATCAATTCTGCTTGCTTCACAGCCAGACAGGACACGGTAAAATAAATAAATAAATAAAAAGCAGCTGAAAACTCACTTGTTCAAGCTGGCTTTTGGATGACCTTCTTCACCTCTCTCTCTTTATTCTGCTCTCCCAACCTATTCCACCTTCCTCAGGATCCACTGATTTCCCTCTTTTCTATTCACTCTCTTTCTTAACATTTTTTCTTTTTAATCACAATTGCCTATTTTTGCTCATTTTATATATATTTTTAAACATTTTCTAAATGCTTTTTTATATTTTTACAATTTTTTGTTTTGTTTTTGTGAAGCGCCTCGTGATTTTTATCTTGAGAGGCGCTATAGAAATGATACTTTCTTCTTCTACAGTCGATGTTCTATACGCTCGCTTAGGGCCCCCTGGTGCACTGGCCTGAGAGGCACTGCCTAAGAGCCACCATGCAGCAAAAATTATTGAAACTTTTGGAAACCCGAGTAGCCATCATCCGTACAAAGCACGCACACAAACATATTCTCACTGTAAGGGTACACACACCATGAAATATCTTACAGGGATTACCCCACATGGTTCAATACCATTCATTTCTAAGGGATGGGGTGGGCGTGCATCAGACAAACATATCACAGAAAACTGGACTTTTGAACAAACTACCAGGGGATGTAGTGTTGGCTGACAGAGGTTTTGACATCAGAGATGCTGTGGGAATTGTGTGCAGAGGTTAAGATCCCTTCATTTACAAGAGGCTTTTGTCAACTTGATGCCACAGACATTGAAGACACAAGAGCTATAGCCCACCTGAGAACACACGTTGAGCGAGTCATCGGGAGCTTGCGCAACAAATACAAAATGTTACGTACCACAATGCCAATCCGAGGACTTATTCCATGTGAGGGTGAAGAGATCACCCTTCTGGACAAGATAGTAAATGTTTGCTGCATTTTGTCAGTGAAGCGTTGATCACATGTGTGACTGCTGCGGCTACTGTAGGAGCAATAGCTTAGAGCAGCTCAAGGTTGGTTTATGCTTGACGCGTCCGCGAGGTCCGCACGGAAAAGTTGCGTCATTTTAACAACCACGCCCCTCCACCGCGCCTCCGCACGGCCCAGAATTTCCGCAACGCGCACCTCGGAAAATTTCTAACCAAGTGGATGGACGGACGCGGAAAAACATGGCGGACCGGCAAGAACTAGTATGGCAGAGGTTGGTAAATACAGACATTTGTATGATTCAGCTCTCAGAGATCACCGTGATCAACATGTTGTAAATAATTCTTGGAGAGAAATAGCTCGCACTGTCGGAAAAGACGAGAACGCTGTTCAAAATTCTCAAATGCCATGTTGTAAACAGTCATTTCTACTTCTACTACGGTGTAGTGTTGGATGCATGCCGTAGAGCTCCATGCTGCCCCCTACAGTTTGGGAGAATATTGGCTCACTGCAGAGACAAGCCCCATGAACCATAAACGCTGCGAGTTGTGAAGCGCGTTCCATCCGCGAGCCGCATCACCGTGCGGAAAGGGAATGCGTCAAGCATAAACCAAGCTTTATAGTCGGAATGGGGTCCAGTGGCCATGTAGTAGGGCGGCTGCACGTGAGAAGCGTGGACACACAGTTCTCAGTGACAGGGGAAAAAGAGGAAAATGAAGCAGTAGGGCTTGAGATGGTTGGGCTAGAAGGAGTTCGTGGTAGTGAATGTTCAGGAGTGGCTAGTTGAGTAAACTGTTTGTTTATAGCTGCCACTTTGTCAGTGAAGAATGAGGCAAAGGTGTCAGCTGATAGACTGTTGGTAGGAGGTGGAGACGAAGGGTTGAGCAGAGTTTTGAATGTTGAAAATAGTTTCTGAGAGTCAGTAGTGCTGAGAATTTTGTCAGTGTAGGAAGCTTTCTTTGCATCAGTGATGCTGGCAGAGAATGAGGACAGTAATTCCTGAAATTTCAATAGATCACCAGGATCTTTTGTTTTGCGCCATTTCCGTTCCGCAGCTCTAAGATTGGTGCGTAGAGACCGGAGGGTATCATCTAGCCAGGGGTGCGACTGAGAGGATCTAGCAGGTCTAGTGGCTAAAGGGCACAAGTTGTTAAGACAAGAGCAGAGTGTGGAGCAGAGTGACTCGGTGGCATCATTCACTTCATAAGCAGAGAATGTGCTGGGAGATGGAAGAGTGGAGGCAACAAGAGAGGAGAAGTGGTTGGGTGCCAGATTGTGGAGGTTGCGGCGGAATGAGACCATTGGGGAGGAAGCAGTGGATCTCCCTTGTAGAGTCGAGCTGAAATGGATGAAGTAATGATCGATTATAACTCCAAAAATTGTACTTCTTTTACTCTTGTAATATTAATATCATCCAAATCAAATCAACTTTATTTATAGAGCGCTTTCACATGGCCAAAATGGACAAACAAAGTGCTGTACACCATTAAAAAGCACCACAATAGGACAGAGAAATGACCATTAAAATACAATAAGAAATCCATTAAAAAATACAATAAGAAATCCATTAAAAAATACAATAAGAAATCCGTTTATAATACAATAAGAAATCCATTAAAAAATAATATACGAAAACCTGAGTGCAAGTTCACAGTCCAATATCCGGCCTACTCCCCCCAACTTCAAAGTCCAAACGCCAGCGAGAACAGATGTGTTTTTAGTCTTCCTTTAAAGGTTTCTAATGACTCAGCCTGTTTTACATCAGCTGGCAGCTCATTCCAGAGACTTGGTCCAAGTACTGAAAAGGCACGACTCCCACGAGACTTCAGGCTGTACCTAGGCACAGTTAGTAGTCTCTGGTCAACTGACCTAAGGGAACACACTGGGACATGTTGGTGGATGATTTCAGCAAGATATTTAGGTGCCCCTGAGTTTAATGCCTTAAACACAAACAGGATGACCTTAAACCTGATGCGATAAAAGACAGGGAGCCAATGCAAGGCACGTAGGACTGTTGTAATATGTTCAGACCTCCTGGTAGATGTTAACAACCGAGCTGCAGAGTTCTGAACCGCCTGGAGGCGTGCTATTGGAGCTTGCCTAAGCCCCGCATATAGCGAATTATAATAATCCAGCCTGCAGGTAACAAAGGCATGGATTACAGTTTCCAAATGACTATGGGACAGAAATATCATCTATATTTAATAGATTTGTATCATTTGAGTTACTTTTACTAAATATCATGAAACATGATTGTTTAATGAAAGTTTATTCCCATCAAGCCATAATTTTATTTTCCTCTCAGTTTGTACTGTTTCTACCATCTGTTTGATATTATCTCCTGCATAATAAAAGGTAGTGTCATTTTCAAATAGAATACATTTTAATATATTTGATATAGAGGCAATATCATTTATATACATAATAAATAGTTTCGGACCCAGTACTGACCCTTGTGGTACCCCACAATTAATATCACGCAGATTTGATTAAATGTCATTTATCTGTACATATTGTTTCCTTTCATTCAAATAACTTGTTAACCATTTTAGAGCCATTGCTTTGATACCATATTTACTAAGTTTTTTAGGAAGAATTTCATAATTTACTGTATCAAACGCTTTTTTTAAATCAATAAAAATACTTATGAAATGGTTCTTTTTGTCAATGGCTTCTGATATTTCTTCTGTAAGTTCCATTAGTGCCATGGAAGTTGAATGATTAGTTCTAAAACCATATTGACTGTTGTTTAATATATTTTCTTTTGTCCGGAATTCATCTAGCCTAGTAATAAATAGTTTCCTAATATTTTAGAAAATTGCGACAATAAGGATATTGGTCTGTAATTGGAAAAAGTGTGTTTTTCACCACTTTTGTATATTGGTATGACTTTTTCTATTTTCATGTTATCTGGAAATGTCCCTGTTGTAAAAGATAAATTACATATGTGAGTGACGGGATGGATGATATTTTCTATTTTTTTATTAATGTTATGTCTAGATCGTTACAGTCAGTAGTTCTTTTATTGATGCATTTATTTACAATGATTCATATTTCATCGCTAGTTACTGGACTCAGAAGTATACTATTTTTAATTACTTGTTATTTTTCCACTGATGTTATAATTAGTTCTTTTAGGAATGTTGTTTGCTAAGTTTGGTCCCACGCTAGTAAAGTAATTGTTAAATTTGTTAGCTATTGCGCTAGTTTTAGGGCTGCAACTAACGATTATTTTCATAATCGATTAATCTGTCGATTATTTTTTTGATTAATCGATTAATCGATTAATCGGTTTGTTATTGTTTAGCTATTTAACCTATACAAGTGATGAATACATTTCAGTTAAGAAAAAGAAAAACATGAGAGAATTGTGCAGTTGACTGCAATCTATTTTATTGCACATGACCACAGTCAGTGGTGTAAAATGAGCTAAACAGTGCAAAATATCAGTCCAGAATAATTTTTTGGCATCAAAATATAAGAGGTAAATTCCATAAAAAATAATGTAGAATCTGGAATAGAGTTTGTAAGTGGTATGCATTGCTGGGGGTGAGTGTCTTGTTCCCCATGTAGTTGTCCATCGTTGCTTGTTTTTTTCTGCATAAGAAACACAAATAAACTGAATTAAGTACACATATAAAATAAAGCAGCACACACACTACAACACTAAATCAATATTACATTATTTGAATTAATTAACAATATACAGTGATCATTTATTTTGACAAAAATGTGTTGTGAGGCGTTTTACAGCGTTAGATAGTAAAACAGCCTTTTAATAGTTAAAAAAATGACTTTCTGAATTTCTCCTGTATTTAAAAATTGAAAGCGTACAACTATGCCGCGTTACATTCACCTGGACACAGCTCTTCTGTATATTTTTCTCCGCGGAGTTGTCCTTTTTTGAATGAGGAACATAGTTATGGGTTTGTGCCGTTTTTCTCTTAACGAGAACATTCTTATAAACAGACGTGCTAAATTTGGCAAGCGCATGATTCACAACACGGAGGAGATTCACGATTGCATCTAGTCAATCAGAAGTAGAACACCGTAAACTGACGCGGCAAAAAAAAAAAACATGTTTAACATCCACTATAACGAACTCAGCTAACACTAAGTCCCAAATGTGATCTGCGTTAGCTTGTTTATTTTCTGTTATTTACCGGACATTCCTCTGCTGCATCAGCCCCCACGTTTTCGTCTCAAATGTTCACTTAGGGACGTCGTGCTTCCGTCGTGCCATGGTTTTTGCATATTTTGCAGGTCACCGGTCTTTTCAAGGCATCTAGTGAAGTGCTCCCATACTCGTGAGGTTTTTGTCCGGGGTTTCTCTTGTTTTGTCGCTTCTATTTTTCTTCCGTATTTGTTGTTGATCCGCCATCTCTCACAGCAAGATGCGCGTCAGTAACGTGATACGTCATGAAAACCGAGGGCACTTATTGGCTAATTTCTTCTTCTACGGCCCCACTGGTAGATCAGTGGCTCATTACTGCCACACACTGGCGGCAAATTTAACAGATTGTAACCGATGTCAGATTGTGGTAAAAAATAGACTTTATGCGGTAAAATATGATTATTAAACAACTAATCGATGACTAAAAAAGTTGTTAACTATTTTAATAATCGATTATAATCGATTAAATCGATTAGTTGTTTCAGCTCTAGCTAGTTTCACTAATTTCTGACAGATTCCCGCTTCCTGGGTGTACACATCAAAGATGGCCTGTCCTGGGGTGTGAACACAACAGCGATGGCAAAGAAGGCTCAACAGAGAATAATTAATTGTTTTCAATTTCGGACACGGGGATTGCATCAAATTTCGTTGTAATTCTATTCTATTCTATTCTATGTTATTACACATTATGTGGAGTGAATGTTAAAACATTAATTCTACAATTATTATCATATGAATACAAAGAGATTTAACATTAAATCAACAAATGCTAATCTGGTGTAATTTAAGATTTGAAATGAATCATTACCGGATTTATATTCATTTTAACACATCATCAATTAATGCACACAATATATATTTACTCTGGATTTAAACAACTTGTTCATTCACCCAGAGATGATTATATGACATACATGCAATAATAAAGCTTTAAAAGAAAGTCATGTATGATTCATGCAAGATTAACTTTATTAAAAGTCTCATCTTCTGCACGAGACCTTGAGCAAAGGCAGGAAAGCGTGGAGCTGGGCTTATTATGGCTGGTTGGAGACCAGACAGATATGATGGGACCCAGGATGTGTGACGCTGTTTGTGTCTGCAAGTTAAAAAGTTATCTTCTGGTCGATGTGATGGAAAACTCGGCCATTTGTAATGCTACACGTGCATAAACAGAAGAAAAGAATGCATTGCCATATATATAGTTACCGCACTATTTATCACCAAATATATAGGTACCACCTGATTTATCACAATATAAATTTTATGTCATATCGCTCATTCCTACTATGGGGTATTGTAAAGAAGAAGATGCAATACGTCAAAGCCAACAATTCAGAAGAGCTGAAGGTCACTAACAGACCAGCATGGGCTCTCATAACACCTGAGCAGCACCACAGACTGATAGACTCCATGCCACGCTACATTGCTGCTGTCATCCAGGCCAAAAAGCCCCAACTAAATATTGTAGAACCTAGAAGGCATTATATAAATACAGGCCTTTTACCAGAGTTTGAGGTTGTCAAGACAAGGCCACCAAAACCGAAAAATTAGATCATTCTAGAAATTCAACTTTTTTTTAAATATATTTATACATTCACCTCAGATAAAAAGTCACTCAATGCTAAAGTTAATTCATGTTCTCCGAGTTAGTTCTGATCTCACCAACTTAAACCAGTAATTCAACTGTTTGTTGATATATGTGTGAAAATAAAGTTACAGTGGTTAATTCACATAATGTGTTCCTGTTTCCCATAGATGATCTCCAGATGGTTAAAGAAGAAGCTCCTGAAGATCAGAGTGCTGGTGTGGACCAGCAGCACCCAGAACAGTTCCACATAAAGGAGGAACAGGAGGAACTCTGGACCAGTCTGGAAGGAGAGCAGCTCCTTTTGAAGAAGGAGACTAATTCTGCCAGGTTTCCATTCATATCAGGTTCTATAAAAAGTGAGGATGATGAAGACAAACCTCTGGTCTTACATCTTCTTTATCAGCAGCAAATAGAGGACAGAGATGTTCCAACCAACAGCTCAGCTGACCAGACAACAGCAGAAACTGGCAGAGAAGCAGAATCTAGCAGGAACCCAGTTCTGAACCCCGATGAACAGATATCTGATTCTTCAGAGACTGAAGTTAGTGGAGATGATGTGAATCTAAATGTTGAGCTATTAGTCTCTAGTTCTGAAACTGGAGATGGAGACACTGACTGCAATGAGAGCAGGTCTTCTGAGTCAGATATTAAGACTGTCAACAAATCCTTTTGCTGCCTTGAGTGTGGTAAAGAGTTTCTCCACAAGTGGTCTCTCCAGAGACATGAAAGAGTGATGAGCCATTCAGCAATAAGATCTTCAGGATGTGTGGTTAATAAGAAAAAGGTTAGAGTAAAGCAACATGTAGACTTTTGCAGGAAAGTCCAGAATGAACCAAAAACATTTAGTTGTGACATTTGTCACATTCATAATAAATGTTTAAACAGACACATGAGAGTCCACACAAGAGAGAAACCCTTTGCCTGTGAGCTCTGTGAACAAAGATTTAGTCATAAATCCACATTAAACCGTCACACAAGAGTCCACACAGGACAGAAACTGTTTGCGTGTGAGCTCTGTGGAAAAAGCTTTACTCTAAAGACAACTTTAAACACTCACATGAGAATCCACACAGGACAGAAACTGTTTGCGTGTGAACTCTGTGAAAAAAGCTTTAATCGAAGGACAACTTTGAATACTCACATGAGAGTCCACACAGGACAGAAACTGTTTGCGTGTGAACTCTGTGGAAAAAGCTTTAATGGAAGGACAATTTTGAATACTCACATGAGAGTCCACACAGGACAGAAACCCTTTGTGTGTGAGCTCTGTGAACAAAGATTTAGTCAAAAATCAACATTAAACCGTCACATGAGAGTCCACACAGGACAGAAACCGTTTGCGTGTGAACGCTGTGGAAAAAGCTTTAATCGAAGGACAAATTTGAACACTCACATGAGAGTCCACACAGGACAGAAACCCTTTGTGTGTGAACTCTGTGGACAAAGCTTTAGTCAAAAATCAACGTTAAACACTCACATGAGCGTCCACACAGGACAGAAACCGTTTGCGTGTGAACGATGTGGAAAAAGCTTTAATCGAAGGACAAATTTGAACACTCACATGAGAGTCCACACAGGACAGAAACTGTTTGTGTGTGAACTCTGTGGAAAAAGCTTTAATCAAAAAATACATTTAAACAATCACACAAGAGTCCACACAGGACAGAAACCTTTTGCTTGTGAACTCTGTGGAAAAAGCTTTAATCGAAGGACAATTTTGAATACTCACATGGGAGTCCACACAGGACAGAAACCATTTGTGTGTGAACTCTGTGGAAAAAGCTTTAATCGAAGGACACATTTGAACACTCACATGAGAATCCACACTGGACAGAAACCGTTTGTGTGTGAACTCTGTGGACAAAGCTTTAATCAAAAAATACATTTAATCAATCACACAAGAGTCCACACAGGACAGAAACCGTTTGCGTGTGAACTCTGTGGAAAAAGTTTTAATCGAAGGACAATTTTGAATGCTCACATGAGAGTCCACACAGGACAGAAACCCTTTGTGTGAGCTATGTGGAAAAAGATTTAGTTATAAGCCAACATTAAACATACACATGAGAGTCCACACAGAACAGAAACTCTTTGCCTGTGAGTTATGTGGACAAAGATTTAGCTATAAGAAAAATTTAAACAGTCACATGAGAGTCCACAAAGGACATTATGAATATATTTAAAGTGCACTTTTACTGATAAACAGTTTAAGTATGTGACTAAAAATGCTGTAGACAAGTGAGGTCATTATTTTGGTATTTTTATGCATCTTATGTAACACTCCCACTGTCCCTTGAGGTCCATGTGGCAGGGGTGAGGAGTGAGCACCACCTCACCCCTGCCACGTGGACCTTAAGGGGTAAACCATCAACCCTGCTCAATGGTCACCTTTCCTCGCGGGGTCACCCATTAGGACAGTGGGAGGGTTAGAATGTAAACATTCAGCTTGAAACTGCTCATTCTCCTCTGACCTCTAGCATCAACAAGGCATATTCGCCCACAGGACTGCCGCATACTGGATGTTTTTCCCTTTTCACACCATTCTTTGTAAACCCTAGAAATGGTTGTGTGTCCAGACACACTGGAAAAGTAAAGGAATCCTATACCTGGAACACATATATAAAGGATTGGGCTTCATCCCATTTAATAGAATAGTCTCCCAATTTGGAATAGATAAGAGTAGCTTTTTAGAATATCACCAAATTAAATCAATAGTTAAACAAAAGTTTAAGTGTAATAAAGTAGAATTACAAACACCACCAAGGGTACTAGACTTCTGTAATCTCAAACACCCCAAACTACAGTCCAAAGTTTATAAGACACTGTCCAAAGTAGATGATAGAAAAGCAATCCCTATTGAAAAATGGGAGGTGGGTCTATCAGTCAGCTTTGACCAGAACTTCTGGTCCCAAACTTGTTTAAAAACTTTTAAAATGATCAGACACCCCAATTTACAATTAATTCAATTCAAAATGCTGCAGAGTACACTATACAGGTCATCGGATGTTCAGGATGGCGTTTGTGTCGTCTGACACCTGTACACACTGCACACACAACATTCCTGACAATTACATCCACGCACTGTGGTCCTGTCCACCTGTCCAGGAATTTCGAGGTAGAGTATGTGAAGACCTGTCAAAGTGTCTGAAATGTCATATCCCAACTTCCCCCTCTCTTTGTTTGCTGGGAAACCTAGGTCAGAAAAGTTACCGGCCCCGCTGAGAATCTACCGGCCCAGCAGGTCATCTGCTAAAACGAGTAAAAATCACAACTGAAAAATAAAAATAGAATAAAAAAGGAAAGGTGAGTTTTTTTCAAACAGACATTTTAAGAGATAAGGAAAGAAAGAAAATGAAAGAAGCAACAGATCGCAGCTAAAAATACAAAAAATAATTTTAAGACTTAAAAAATGCTGATGACTTACTATGCAAAGCACTTCACAAATGGCTGCTTCCTACAGGGCGTGATAGTGGTGTGACGGATCAAAATTTTCATGGTTTTCAGCCCCGGATCGGATTATTTTTCAGATCAGCAGAAAGAAAAGAAAAAACAAACAGCTTTGCTCTTTCTTTTTATTATGTAGAAGTGCAACATTTTCTGTTCAATTTGAGACTCGCTATAAAAGCAGGAGTTACAAGAGTTAGCAGGAGTATTGGAGCAGGTGTAGCGTCCAGCAATGGTCAGTTTAGGTACAGCCTGACCTTTTACCATCTATTCAACATCTGGTCAGAAAGAAGACACAACATTGCTGGACTTTGTTTTATGAGGCTATGGCTATTGTTAATAGTCGTCCCTTAACTGTTTACAACATTAACGAACCTAACATACCTGAACCACTCACTCCTTATCATCTTATCCTTATGAAGTCTAAAATCGCTTTACCACCACCTGGAACTTTTTTCAAAGAAGACGTGTATGCACTTCAAAGGTGGCGTGGAGTACAGTTTCTTGTAGAACAATTCTGGAGCAGATGGAAAAGAGAATATCTCAGTAACCTCTCTCAGACAAAAATGGCACAAACTGCGCCGCAATGTAAAGGTGGATGACATAGTCCTTGTTAAAGATGATGTACTTCCAAGATGTCAGTGGCAACTGGGTCGTGTGATTGGCACTGCAGAGGGAAAAGACGGAATAGTCCGAAGAGTTAAGGTTCAGACGGGAAACAGAGGTCTGAATGGTAGACAGAACCGTGTGTCTGTTCTTGAACGTCCTGTACAAAAACTGGTTGTGTTAGTTGAGAGTTAAGTTTTTGCTCTTTGTTTTTAATTAGGAAGTAAAATACAGTACTGTTAACTGCCATTTGTCTACTTTAAAATCATGTGAAGTATTTTTTGCATAAATCATGAGTTGGTGGGAGTGTAAATGGCTGCGAGCAGGTGGATTGTCAACGTCACTCATTCAATTGCATATAAGTGGGCGTTAACCCGGATGTGGACGTGGCGTTGGCATTCCACCTGGCTTGGCGTGTTGCAGCAGACCAAACTTCCACGTAAGTGCGGGTATTTCGACTAAAATTTATTAAATAAGAACGTGTCGCCCATGGACGTCACTAGGATTGAGATATAGGGAGGGCTTAGCCCCAGGAGCTTGACCTTGAACATTTTTTTCACATCCTGCAAAAACTATGTCAATTAATTCATTATCTGAAGAACATTTAACAAAACTTATTATTTTATCACTTTCTTTTCCTTTCCTACCTTTGTGCATTTTCTCTCTTTTTATAAAAAATCACATTTAATCAGTTCATTAGTGGGGTCTATGTTGAAGAAAGATTTTATAAAAGTCCATTAAAAATTAGATATGTTATATTTCCAAATAAAGCTATTCATTTCAGTCTACTGCACTTAACAGGGGGAAATGTTGCAGTCATTTGTTTAATTACAACTTGCTTAATTATAAATGTTACTGAAATATGACAAAGAACAAATGAATAATCGTCAAACTTTTATTCTGCCAAATGAGTGTGCAGTTGACAGTTTTAGTATATGAATAACACTGATATGATATGGAATAAAGGAGTATGTAATCAACAATTACAAGACAAAATAACAGTATATATAAAAATGAGGGCTGGGACTTGATTAAAATTTTTTAATCTAATTAATTAGAGGCTTTGTAATTAATTAATCTAAATTAATCGCATTGTAATTGTTCAGGAAAATGTGCTCTCAAAGCAAAACTTAATTAAAATTATGAGACAGAGATTTAAACATTAGACATAGTTATTACTGTAAAACTAAAGCTTTTAATAAAAATGCATTTTAATTATTCAAATGTCACTGTGTGATATGAAACAAGACCCAAATCAACTAAAATTTATAATTACAAATAGAAAACGCCTGCAAAGGGTTCCTGAGCCTTTAAATAGTCTCTCTGTCTAGTTGAATGACTGAAATAAATTTGACTTTGCACCAGATTCTAATTTTTCCAGTTTCACTTGTTTGTATAATTGGGAGTTTTTATTAGCATTTCTACTCATAATGTAGTAAAAACATACATATAAATAATAATCCTTCAAAATGACAGTAAACAGGCACAAATATGATCTAGGACTTAAATGTACTAACTTTTAACACCAGAGCAGGCGTGGCATATTCTGAGAATGATCAGGAACACTAACTGGTTCCAGTTGGATGACTGGAGGATGATGGGATGATAAAAGATCATGGCGAGGAAATAATGATCTGATGAACAGGTGAGCGGACCTTCCTTACATGGGAAGTCCTGATGTCACGTTAAGAAGGGGATGCTGCAGACCCGCAGATTCACGCCTGCAGCAGAGAATCTGGTGTGATCTCCAGCCTGATCACAACTTCCTCGTTCCTCGCTGCCCCTGATGCACTCGAGCATCCGCCCCTTAGCTGATAACAGCTTCAACACACCTCTCTGCTTAATGATAGTAATGCATGTGATGTTTAGACGGAGACTCGTCTCAGAAACATAGAATTCCCCGACAGCATTGTTTAGAAAATCATCAGAAAAGTTTCAGAGTGTTTCTGTTTTAACTTAAACTTCTGTTTTGAACTTTAAGACACTTTGTTTGTGATTGTTTACAGAGTAGTGAGAACACGGAGCGTTCTCCCAGCGGCAGCCAGGTGCCTCTCGTTTGTCTGACTACTTTCATAAATTACTGTTAGGGCACAGAATTATTCTGTCTGGTGCTTTCAGCGCTGCACAGATGTTACTTAAATGTTAAAAATATAGCTTACGGCAACTTTTGTAAAGTTTCCTGTGCCACCGCAGTACCGGACTGCTGCAGCAGAGACGATCTCTGAAAAATGTCCGTGACACGGACTCCGTTGTTGTCTGGAAGTTTGTTTTTTTCAAGTTAAGAAAAGAGGCGGACGGGTTTCCTAAATCCTGCATCAGTCCAAGCAAGGCAACTTCTTTCCGTTTTTATTCCGTTAGTAGCCATTAGCACTGTGCATTGTTGTGTGCGTCAGTGATATTCAGTCTACGAGGAAGTTGTGCAATGACAAAGGTTCCGCCGTGCTCGAAATGCAAGCTGCGATTAAATGCGTGAAAATTTTTTAACGTGTCGTTTTTTTCTAATTAATCATAATAACGCATTAAAGTCCCAACCCTAAAAAAACTCAAAATGATAGGGGGGCTTGTGATTATTTTAGGGGGGCTGAAGCCCCCCTAAAACGGATCTAACGACGTCAGCGGTGTCGCCCTAACAAATGCTTGTACATTTATTCTATGGTCTTGCTGTGCCAAGCCTCTACGTGACATTACTTTGATTGCACCCCATGGCAAGAGGAGCAAGGTATTTGTTCTTTGTTTCTGTTTGTTGCTCCTGATTGTCAGCGATTGTCTTTAATTTGTTTGTAAATTATGTATTTTCAGTTTTCACGGTGTTTGCACAGTGACCGGCACCAGGTGCTCGGTGCGATTCTGGGAATGAGATGTGTGCATCTACAGCCTGACGCAAATAAAAAGTTATACCCGTCAAAGCTCTCCTCCTTATTTCTCTTGGATGCCAAGGGGCAGCAACAATAATAATAATAATTATAATATGAGCCAGGCAGGATAGAGTTTAATAATAATAATAAAATTATTTTATGAGCCAGGCAGGATACTTTATTAATAATAATAATAATAATAAAATTATTATATGAGCCAGGGAGGATAGACTTTATTCAGAGAGGATACATAAGAGTCCTGCGTCTCCTACAGCCTTGATGCTGTTCTGGCACACCACAGGATAAATTAGGAGTATTGGCTCAAGTTCATAGACTTCATATCAACATCAGTGTCAGATTGACCTGCATGAAGAAGTCTGGCCTGGTTATGTCACTAGTATGTGTGCTTTATTAGTCACACACTGAACACACAGGTTCTTGCTGTTCATCCAGAGTCGTGTCCACTAGGTGGCAGCAGTGCACCTTTACGTTGGTTGTACAGAAGAAGAAGAAACCCGGAAGCTGCTAGCAGCGCTAGCTTGTTGTTGTTCTGGTGTGTGAGGTGAATGAATATTTGAGTCTCTGGGAGAGTTGATCGGCTAAAGCGACTAACTGCTGCTGCTGCAGAAATCTTCTCACCAGGCTGTGGAAACCTACTTCTCCTCCTCAACAACTTGGTGGACTTCTTTCCAGAACCAGAGAAGATATTCTGCGGTCTTCGTGACAATCGGAGCTCCAGAAGCAGGTAATGGGTCAGAAAAGCTTTTCTCTAGACTTCCTGCCCTCTGGCTCTGCTGCTGTTCCTTTGGCCTCTCTGACAAACGCGCTCGTTTAGCTGCTTTCATCAGATTGAAGAGGTTCCCTCTATCAGACTCGCTCATCTGAGCTGGTCATGATGCAGGATCGCTGCTCGCTCTCTGATCCATCCTGCTCACACTCCGACGGAAAAGCCCCGAATCTGAATGTGACTCTGGAGGAAAAAGCGGTTAGCTCTACTCCGTGACTGGGACCAAAATTTGGCCCTGGCATTTTTATGAACCGTCGGCCCTCGGCAGGGGAGGTTGCTGCTCGCGACTCGTCTATCCCGCCATATGTGGGGGGAGGACAGGGTGTTGTGTGTGTTGCTGGCGGACTTGTCTCTATAACCGCACGTGAGGCGGGGGCTTGGTTCGGGACGGCCCAAACTGGGCAAGCGGTCCACCGGGACAGTGCCAGATAGGCCAGTCCACCCCTGCTGGTGACCAAAGGTCGTCTTTTCCAGACTGGATGTGTCCTCAGCTGATCAGAACCAAAGCGTTGGATCTTTAAAGAGCAAGTCACCCCCAAATAAACATTTTTTTGCTGATAAACTAAATAAACGAGTGTCTAATCATGCTGCAGACACGTGTCGTCAATAATTTGGCACTTCAGTGCATCTTAGTTAAAATTGAAATATTCTGCCTAAAACTGGCTGTGTTGTGCCGTTGTCAGGTAAAAACTCTGCACTGCATTCTAATTTAAATCTGCCACCACTATTGGCTAAGAAGTATGCTATGATGTAATCTGGTACATTATGATGTCACAATGCTGTCGTGAGCCTGAGTGTGTGTGTATTTGTTAGCAGCTCCGCCCTCTCGGTCTGCCAGGCAACGGCATTTGTTGCATTTTTCAAATATGAAGTGGGAGTAGAGTTAGACTCTGGTAGGGGTTGACTTACTCTTTAATCTCCTGCGTTGTTCTGAAGCAGCATCTTAATCAGCTCTCCTGCTTTGTTTCTATTGCAGCTGTTAGCTAAACACGGCTAAAGAAAACCTGCTACCACTTCAGGATCATCCATCAGCTGGGACTGCTTCATCAGCATGGACACAGGTACTGGTGTGTGTGTGTGTGTGTGTGTGTGTGTGTGTGTGTGTGTGTGTGTGGTTCCTAGGATGATAGAAGTCGGTATTTTCAGAAATTGTCTACAGTCGTCATTGTTTATGTTTGTTTATTTATTAGACGCATTTATCCAAAGCGACTTACAATTTATAACCTATAGGGCATGTTGTGATCTGTGGGGGAAACCGGAGTACCCGGAGGAAACCCACGCATGCATGGGGAGCAGTGGCGGTTCCACATGGAATTACTCCCCGTGCGACGCCCCCTTTGAGCGCCCCACCACCACCCCACCTGCACGAACACGCATGTTTTCTACAAACAGGCATGTTTTATTAGAACAACTATTGAACATTCATTTTTCTAAGTTGCACATATTTACATTAATTACTATGAAGTTGTCAGAATGTAAAGCAATATACATTATATGCTGTATCAAAATATATAGAATCAAAGTTCCAATGTACCCTCCCCCAAACACATGCACGCACACACATGTACACATACACACACGCACGTACACATACACAAATTATTGCAAGCGCCTTAACTAGAGCTCAGTCAGTTTGTGTAATGTCCTCCAACGGTTTACGAAAAAACAGTTTGAAGCCGTTATGCAGCGGAACGCTGGCAACAAAGCTCTGCCTGATCAACACTATAAATGATAAATGACCCGCACTTGTATAGCGCCTCTCAGAGTAAAGACTCCAAAGCGCTTTACGCTACAGTGTATCATTCATCCATTCACACACACATTCACACACTGATGGTGATAAGCTACGATGTAGCCACAGCTGCCCTGGGGCGCACTGACAGAGGTGCCCCGCTATTTAATTCACTCATTTGTTATTCTTCCAACCAAGTGCTAACCAAAACCTCATGCTTTATGCAAAACATTAAATGATTTTCAGCATACCAATCTTTACAGAAAACATAAAACCCTAAAAAAAACTGCACATAAAATATAATAAGAAACAATATTCACTTATCACTTAGAGCAGTGGTTCCCATCAGCCTGACCAACAGATGTTCCTTCATATTTTTATGTTATTTATACATTTTCATTATATTTGGAAAGTTTTAATTTATATATAAATATATAAATCTATTTTAAAATTTTATACTTGACTTCCATATTAACGCATCAGTATCTGCACCTTTTTTACGGCTTTTTTTTTTACATTGTCGCTACGTCTGTCACGTTAGCGGTGTTTTACCACCATTTCTACATCCATCACGTCCCAGAGAAGGTTAAACCAACATCAGACCCAACGTTTGGAGCTGGTAAACTCCACACACCTCTCGTGCAGCACCAGCTGTCTGATGCTGCAGCAGCGTCAATCTTCCCGGCTGGATGAGTGAATTTCTTCATCAGAGTCAATATTCTGCTTCATAATCAGAGTCAGTCATTACCAGACAAAGTGGTCAGTCAGCAAAGACCAGACCTGCAATTATACATTTTATCTAATATTTGCCCTCTTCATGTTGCGCCCATCTCCTCCTCTCCCCGACTGGGAGCCTCTCGGCGGGAGGCGATTTTCAAACTCTAAAAACTCCCAAACTTTGCTCAGCCTGAAGGTTCCACATCTCCACTATCTTCTGGTGTAAAGTAGTAACTTCATGAGGGATCATGTTTGTAGATGAGACTTGTTAAAGTCAGCAGTGAGGCTTTGGCGCTTATAACGAGTAAGTCCCAACACTGACAACAACGTACTGAAACTGGAACCAACACGCATAAACAGACAGATCGGTCCCGCCTGCTTACACTGTTGGTCTTTTTTAAATACGCAGTCATCGTTGCTTCATCCTGCATCCTAGCAGCAACCACTTTGGCGCCTCTGGAGTCGTTGTTTGTTTACGTCATGCTGCATTCAGTGTAATTGGAAAAAGGAGCTTCAAGCGCTAAACCTCCAATTTTGTTTTCTTTCTGGCCTTAGTTGGGGGGACGGATCGGTGTCGATCTGAATCTGGGGGGGACAGATCCCCCCCGTCCATCACCCTATCCAGGCTTTTAAGAATAGGCTCAAGACCCACCTTTTTAGCTTAGCTTTTAACTGATCACTATTTATCTATATATACATATTTATCTCTTTTAATTAATTGTATCATTTTATCTACATCTTAGCGTTTTTAGATTATTATGTTTTCTTTTACTATCTTTATAATCACTTTTTATCAGTTACTTTTTATCCATATTAGCTTTTGTTATTTTACATGATATATATTTGAATCCTCCAGTGTTTCCTCTGCGGAGCCCTCTGCCTTGGGGCCGGTGGTCAGGGGCGGCGGCGGCCGGGGCGCTCCTCGGGTAGTGCCCGGGCACTGGTGGGGGTTTCTGCCCTCCCCCACTGGGCGTCATGGGCCGGTGTCTTGGCTGCTGCCGTGGATCTGTTGCTGTCAGGGCAGATGGCTCCGCTGATGATGTCTCGTTCATTACTTGACCCATCTGAACTCAGCCTGTTCTTTCCTTTGGTGTGTGTGTGTGTGTGTGTGTGTGTGTGTGTGTGTGTGTGAGTGTGTGAGTGAGAGATTGTATGTCCCGTGGGGTCAAAACGATAATGAGAACGGTGAGCAAGAGTCCCAGAACCACACGGGGGGACCTGGTGAATGACCTGCAGAGAGCTGGGACCACAGTAACAAAGGTCACCATCAGTAACACACTACAACGGCAGGGAATCAAATCCTGCAGTGCCAGACGCGTTCCGCTGCTGAAGCCAGTGCATGTCCAGGCCCGTCTGAAGTTTGCCAGAGAGCACATGGATGATACAGCAGAGGATTGGAGAATGTCATGTGGTCAGATGAAACCAAAGTAGAACTTTTTGGTATAAACTCAACTCGTCGTGTTTGGAGGAAGAAGAATACTGAGTTGCATCCCAAGAACACCATACCTACTGTGAAGCATGGGGGTGGGAACATCATGCTTTGGGGCTGTTTTTCTGCTAAGGGGACAGGACGACTGATCCGTGTTAAGGACAGAATGAATGGGGCCATGTATCGTGAGATTCTGAGCCAAAACCTCCTTCCATCAGTGAAAGCTTTGAAGATGAAACGTGGCTGGGTCTTCCAACACGACAATGATCCCAAACACACCGCCCGGGCAACAAAGGAGTGGCTCCGTAAGAAGCATTTGAAAGTCCTGGAGTGGCCTAGCCAGTCTCCAGACCTCAACCCCATAGAAAATCTGTGGAGGGAGTTGAAAGTCCGTGTTGCTCGGCGACAGCCCCAAAACATCACTGCTCTCGAGAAGATCTGCATGGAGGAATGGGCCAAAATACCAGCTGCTGTGTGTGCAAACCTGGTAAAGACCTATAGTAATCGTTTGACCTCTGTTATTGCCAACAAAGGTTATGTTACAAAGTATTGAGTTGAATTTTTGTTATTGACCAAATACTTATTTTCCACCCTGATTTACAAATAAATTCTTTAAAAATCCTGCCATGTGAATTCATAGATTTTTTTTCACATTCTGTCTCTCACAGTTGAAGTGTACCTATGATGAAAATTACTGACCTCTGTCATCATTTTAAGTGGGAGAACTTGCACAATCGGTGGCTGACTAAATACTTTTTTGCCCCACTGTATAACCGTTGATGGCACTTTCTGAGAATCTCTTCTGTGTTAGCAGAGAATTTCAGGAGGTTGTCAAAGGTGGTTCCCAGATACTTGTACTCCTCCACCTCCACTGGCTTCCCGTGGACAATGGTGGTTACTGAAACAGCCGGATCCCTCTGCCTCCTGCAGAAGGTCACAACCATGACTTTGGTTTTGCTCACATTCAGTTCAAGATTGGAGCTGTCACACCACTCTACAAACTCTTGAAGAGCAGGTCCGTGGTGTTGTGAGGAGCCTGACAGCAGTGACAGGAGGACTGTATCATCAGCATTATTCACCAGGTGACAGTTGGGATGTGTGGATCTGCAGTCGTCGGTGTAGAGGATGTAGAGCAGGGGGGAGAGCACACAGCCCTGGGGGGAGCCAGTGGAGGTGGAACGGAGACCGGAGGGACAGTTGTTGACCCAAACTTTCTGAGCCCTGTTGGTCAAAAAGTCCAGTATCCACAGGGTTAACTGGTCATCCAAATGAAATTGGGAGGAAAGTTTAGTAGCCAGGATGTGAGGCTGCAGAGTGTTGAATGCTGATGAAAAGTCAACTAACAGAAGCCTGGCAGAGGAGTCAGGGAGCTCCAGTTGTTTGTGGATGGAGTGCAGGATGAAGATTTTTGCATCATCGGCGCCTCTGCGTGCACGATAAGCAAACTGGAGTGGATCCATCAGGGGCTCAGTTGCTCTCACAATGTGCTCTTTTATGATCTTCTCCATGGCCTTCATCACCAAGGAGGTGAGCGCCACAGGATGAAGATCGTTAGGAGACTTTGGGTTGCTTCTTTTTGGGACAGGGATAACTGTGGAGTGTTTCCACAGCTGGGGACTTTTTTGGTGACTTTTTTGAGGGGATGATGCTGTCTACACAGAAGGAGATGTATGATGATACTGTGTCGACTTGATCGCTGATGTCTTCAGAGGAAGAAAGAAGGCTGACCCAGTCAGTGGCCTCAAAACATCCTTGTAGGGTGGAATACTTTCCACTGTCCACTGCTGGATGCTTTTGATCACCTTTTTAATCCTCTTGATGACTGGGGTGTAAGCAGGGGCTAGCAGGATGGTGTTGTGGTCTGCTGAGCCAAGAGGGGGGAGGGCTTTAAATGCATCTGGAACCGAGCCAAAGCATTTGTCCAGATCCTTCCCCTGACGTGTGCTGCATGTAACATACTGTTGGAAACCTTTAAGCAACTTGTCAGGGGAGCAGTGGTTAAAATCGCCCAGGATGAACTTGGGAGAGTCTGGTGATAATTGTTCCAATTTGTCCAGACTGCTAATGAGGTTCTCTGTGGCTTTGGCAGCATCAGCTCTGGGGTGAATGTAGACCAAGATGATGAAAATCTGTGGGAATTCTCTGGGGAGATAATAGGGGCGCAGGGAAACAGAAGCTCGATATCTGTGGTGCACAACTTCTCCCTCACAGTGACTGTAGAGCACCAGCTGTTGTTTACATAGAGACATACACCGCCGCCATGTTGCTTCCCATCTCTGTCCAGGCGAAAAGGTGGTGAAAAGCCATCAATGTGCAGCGTGCTGTCATCGTCACTGTTGTTTAACCATGACTCGGTGAATGCCAGAACAGAAGCTGTTCGGTACTCATGCAAGTGGTTGACGCAAGCTTGCAGCTCGTCTAGCTTGTTACGGAGAGACCGGACATTAGCCAGGATAATGGACGGGAGCGCTCGTTGTTTGTGTGATTCCCTCTTGAGTCTCGCTCTCACACCACTCTTCTTTAATCCCCTCCTGTTCACCTTGCATTTATGAGTTGTCAAATTTTCGTGTCCACGGAGTATTTCCTCGGGAAAGAAATCCGTAGGAACAGGGCGGAAAGGCTGTTGTCTGGGTTGCCGCTGCCGATGAATGAGGAAGTCTCTGGTATAGCAGAGCCTTGGGGTCATGATCCAAAATAAAGAAAAACAAAGAAGGAGCGATAGAGTTGAAAAGTTAAAAGTTTAAAAAAAGTTTGAGTTTAAAAAGTTTAAAAGAACGCCATAACTGCTCAGCTGTCTGGCCGGTCGACCGCACGAGCAGCGACCAGGCTAAGACAAGAATGAATACTTTTTCAAAGGTGACACTGAAAAAGTAAAGTATTATACTGGACTACCTTGTTTTGCTATTTTAATGTCCTTGTTCAGCAACAGGAAAGCTTTCCTGCTGGCGTCAAGGTGTTTTAAGTTCATCTGCAGATGTGGCAGATCTATGAGTCTCTTGTAACAATATTACGTCTGCTTGCACTCTCTTTAGCTGATCAAAAATCTTTATTCTTTTCTCTATGGAGACAGCTCCATGTACGTTCCATGAGACAAACCTTAGTGCACCCATAGATGTGTGTGTGTGAGTAGCTAAAATATGACACCTTCATGTGAATAAGATGGAATAAGTAACTAAATGTATAAAATAGTATGTTAATAAATAACAGAAAAGTAAATAATAATAATAATAATAAAGATCCAACAGTTTTTGTGGTTGTATTATTTGACACATAAATTATGATATTGTGCTGTGGATATAATATATATATATATATTTGTGTGTGTGTGTGTGTGTGTGTGTGTGTGTGTGTGTGTGTGTGTGTGTGTGTGTGTGTGTGTGTGTGTGTGTGTGTGTGTGTGTGTGTGTGTGTGTGTGTGTGTGTGTGTGTGTGTGTGTGTGTGTGTGTGTGTGTCGAGTCTGACGCAGTGTTGGAAAGTTGTGTGGTTGTGCCATACAGGTGTAAAGGTACAGAAGCAGGTAAAGAGGAAGGGAAAATACAGATACAGGTTAAAACAGAAGAAAGAACTAAAAAGAAAAGGTGATAGGGGTGTGAGGTGGTGATGAACAGGTGATCTTATCATCTAGAAAACGGATTTAGCAGCTGCTTAATTCTGACGTGATCAAACCCAGTGAATCCTGATAAGAATAATAAATGTCTGACCTGATGTTGGGCTAATACAGCCAGTCAGTCACTCCTCGCTCCTTGTAAAGCTTATTGTCCACATAAAGCTTATCCACCGCGATGACAGCTCTCTTCCCATCCTGGATAAACGTATTGCGCAGCGGAAAGAGGACTCGGCGCCGATCCAGGATTTCCTTCGGGAACTGATCATTTACGCTGGTCTTTTTCTTTGAGCTCTCTTCCGTGACTTTTAACAAGATCCTTCTGCTTAAAATGTTCAAATTTAGCCACGATGGGACGAGGTCTTCTGCTGTCCACTCGTCTAGCTCCAAGGCGATGTACCCGGTGAAAGGTGATGTTTTTTACCGTTTCTTCGGGTATCTTCATTTGGGTCTGGAGAAAGTTCTTTATTGTTTGCTCGCAGTTCTCCGCCCCTTCCGCCTGCTCCGGCAGGCCTGCGAACACCAGATTATCCCTCATGCTATGGGCCTGAAGGTCCAAAACTGTCTCCTTCAGAGTCTTGTTGTCCAGGGTGATCCGCGTCATTCCCTCTTCCAGGGAAGAAACGGACTCACGTAGCGACGCGTTCTCAGCCTGCTCCTGACTGAACTCCAAATATGTTCGGAGGTTCTGGAACTCCTGGTGTAGAATCCAATAATTCTAATACTGTATGTCCTTACGGGGAGATGAGGCCTCAGGCGAGTCCTGAGGACAGCTCCTCTTGGTCCCAAGTGTTTCAGGCTCAGCTGCTGATTTCTTCGGACCCATGACGAAAAACTCAAAAACTCCGTCAATATAGTTTTGTAAACTTTCTAAATTTTCTTCACTTACCTCCAGATTGAGTGAGTTATACTTACCAGATTATTTTTTGCGTTGTCAGTAGATAAATTAGGCAAAAATGCATCTTAATTGTTTGTGGATGTTTGCTAACGAGCTGCCATCAACCTCAAACGCTGCCGTGTATCCGGTGATCGGCCGTCAGCGCATGCTCCCAGCCCAGCTCTCAGGCAGGAGACAGGAGAAGCTGAAAAAATGCAATAATAAAGTTTTAGAAGAAAGTCATTTATGATTCATGCAAGATTAACTTTATTCAGCGAGTAAAAGTCTCATCTTCTGCACGAGACCTTGAGCAAAGACAGGAAAGCGTGGAGCTGGGCTTATGGCTGGTTGGAGACCAGACAGATATGATGTGACCCAGGATGTGTGACGGTGTTTGTGTCTGCAAGTTAAAAAGTTATCTTCTGGTCAAAGTGATGGAAAACTCGGCCATTTGTAATGCTACACGTGCATAAACAGAAGAAAAGAATGCATTGCCATATATATAGTTACCGCACTATTTATCACCAAATATATAGGTACCACCTGATTTATCGCAATATAAATTTTAGGTCATATCGCTCATTCCTACTATGGGGTATTGTAAAGAAGAAGATGCAATACGTCAAAGCCAACAATTCAGAAGAGTTGAAGGTCACTAACAGACCAGCATGGGCTCTCATAACACCTGAGCAGCACCACAGACTGATAGACTCCATGCCACGCTACATTGCTGCAGTCATCCAGGCCAAAAAGCCCCAACTAAATATTGTAGAACCTAGAAGGCATTATATAAATACAGGCCTTTTACCAGAGTTTGAGGTTGTCAAGACAAGGCCACCAAAACAGAAAAATTAGAAAATTAGAAAAATTTGATCAATTCTAGTAATTCTACTTTTGTTTGTTTTTTTTATATTTATACATTCACCTCAGATAAAAAAAGGTCACTCAATGCAAAAGTTAATTCATGTTCTCCGAGTTAGTTCTGATCTCACCAACTTAAACCAGTAATTCAACTGTTTGTTAGTATATGTGTGAAAATAAAGTTACAGTGGTTAATTCACATAATGTGTTCCTGTTTCCCATAGATGTTCTCCAGATGGTTAAAGAAGAAGCTCCTGAAGATCAGAGTGCTGGTGTGGACCAGCAGCACCCAGAACAGTTCCACATAAAGGAGGAACAGGAGGAACTCTGGACCAGTCTGGAAGGAGAGCAGCTCCTTTTGAAGAAGGAGACTAATTCTGCCAGGTTTCCATTCATATCAGTTTCTATAAAAAGTGAGGATGATGAAGACAAACCTCTGGTCTTACATCTTCTTTATCAGCAGCAAATAGAGGACAGAAATGTTCCAACCAACAGCTCAGCTGACCAGACAACAGCAGAAACTGGCAGAGAAGCAGAATCTAGCAGGAACCCAGTTCTGAACCCCGATGAACAGATATCTGATTCTTCAGAGACTGAAGTTAGTGGAGATGATGTGAATCCAAATGTTGAGCTATTAGACTCTAGTTCAGAAACTGGAGATGGAGACACTGACTGCAATGAGAGCAGGTCTTCTGAGTCAGATATTAAGACTGTCAACAAATCCTTTTGCTGCCTTGAGTGTGGTAAAGGGTTTCTCCACAAGTGGTCTCTCCAGAGACATGAAAGAGTGACGAGCCATTCAGCAATAAGATCTTCAGGATGTGTGGTTAATAAGAAAAATGTTAGCGTAAAGCAACATGTAGACTTTTGCAGGAAAGTCCAGAATGAACCAAAAACGTTTAGTTGTGACATTTGTCACATTCATAATAAAAGTTTAAACATACACATGAGAGCCCACACAAGAGAGAAACCCTTTGCCTGTGAGCTCTGTGAACAAAGATTTAGTCATAAATCCACATTAAACCGTCACACAAGAGTCCACACAGGACAGAAACTGTTTGCGTGTGAACTCTGTGGAAAAAGCTTTAATCAAAGGACAATTTTGAATACTCACATGAGAGTCCACACAGGACAGAAACCCTTTGTGTGTGAGCTCTGTGAACAAAGATTTAGTCATAAATCCACATTAAACCGTCACACAAGAGTCCACACAGGACAGAAACTGTTTGCGTGTGAACTCTGTGGAAAAAGCTTTAATCAAAGGACAATTTTGAATACTCACATGAGAGTCCACACAGGACAGAAACCCTTTGTGTGTGAGCTCTGTGAACAAAGATTTAGTCAAAAATCAACATTAAACACTCACATGAGAGTCCACACAGGACAGAAACCGTTTGCGTGTGAACGCTGTGGAAAAAGCTTTAATCGAAGGGCAAATTTGAACACTCACATGAGAATCCACACAGGACAGAAACCCTTTGTGTGTGAGCTCTGTGAAAAAAGATTTAGTCAAAAATCAACATTAAACACTCACATGAGCGTCCACACAGGACAGAAACCGTTTGCGTGTGAACGCTGTGGAAAAAGCTTTAATCGAAGGACAAATTTGAACACTCACATGAGAATCCACACAGGACAGAAACTGTTTGTGTGTGAACTCTGTGGAAAAAGCTTTAATCAAAAAATACATTTAAAATATCACACAAGAGTCCACACAGGACAGAAACCTTTTGCGTGTGAACTCTGTGGAAAAAGCTTTAATCGAAGGACAAATTTGAACACTCACATGAGAGTCCACACAGGACAGAAACCATTTATGTGTGAGCTATGTGGACAAACATTTAGTTTTAAGCCAACATTAAACACTCATATGAGATTCCACACAGGACATAAACCTTTTGCCTGTGAACTCTGTGGAATAAGCTTTACTCTAAAGACACATTTAAACAATCACATAAGAGTCCACACTGGACAGAAACCTTTTGCGTGTGAACTCTGTGGAAAAAGCTTTACTCAAAAGACAACTTTAAACAATCATATGAGAGTCCACACAGGACAGAAACCATTTGCGTGTGAGCTATGTGGAAAAAGCTTTAAACAAAGAACAAATTTGAACACTCACATGAGAGTCCACACAGGACAGAAACCTTTTGCATGTGAACGCTGTGGTAAAAGTTTCAATCAAAAAATACATTTAAACAATCATATGAGAGTCCACACAGGACAGAAACCGTTTGCGTGTGAGCTCTGTGGAAAAAGCTTTAATCAAAGGACAATTTTGAATACTCACATGAGAGTCCACACAGGACAGAAACCCTTTGTGTGTGAGCTCTGTGAACAAAGATTTAGTCATAAATCCACATTAAACCGTCACACAAGAGTCCACACAGGACAGAAACTGTTTGCGTGTGAACTCTGTGGAAAAAGCTTTAATCAAAGGACAATTTTGAATACTCACATGAGAGTCCACACAGGACAGAAACCCTTTGTGTGTGAGCTCTGTGAACAAAGATTTAGTCAAAAATCAACATTAAACACTCACATGAGAGTCCACACAGGACAGAAACCGTTTGCGTGTGAACGCTGTGGAAAAAGCTTTAATCGAAGGGCAAATTTGAACACTCACATGAGAATCCACACAGGACAGAAACCCTTTGTGTGTGAGCTCTGTGAAAAAAGATTTAGTCAAAAATCAACATTAAACACTCACATGAGCGTCCACACAGGACAGAAACCGTTTGCGTGTGAACGCTGTGGAAAAAGCTTTAATCGAAGGACAAATTTGAACACTCACATGAGAATCCACACAGGACAGAAACTGTTTGTGTGTGAACTCTGTGGAAAAAGCTTTAATCAAAAAATACATTTAAACAATCACACAAGAGTCCACACAGGACAGAAACCTTTTGCGTGTGAACTCTGTGGAAAAAGCTTTAATCGAAGGACAAATTTGAACACTCACATGAGAGTCCACACAGGACAGAAACCATTTGTGTGTGAGCTATGTGGACAAACATTTAGTTTTAAGCCAACATTAAACACTCATATGAGATTCCACACAGGACAAAAACCTTTTGCCTGTGAACTCTGTGGAATAAGCTTTACTCTAAAGACACATTTAAACAATCACATAAGAGTCCACACTGGACAGAAACCTTTTGCGTGTGAACTCTGTGGAAAAAGCTTTACTCAAAAGACAACTTTAAACAATCATATGAGAGTTCACACAGGACAGAAACCATTTGCGTGTGAGCTATGTGGAAAAAGCTTTAAACAAAGAACAAATTTGAACACTCACATGAGAGTCCACACAGGACAGAAACCTTTTGCATGTGAACGCTGTGGTAAAAGTTTCAATCAAAAAATACATTTAAACAATCATATGAGAGTCCACACAGGACAGAAACCGTTTGTGTGTGAACTCTGTGGAAAAAGCTTTAATCGAAGGACAAATTTGAACACTCACATGATAGTCCACACAGGACAGAAACTCTTTGCCTGTGAGTTATGTGGACAAAGATTTAGCTATAAGAAAAATTTAAACAGTCACATGAGAGTCCACAAAGGACACTACAAATAAATTTAAAGTGCACTTTTACTAATAAACAGTATAAGTACGTGACTAAAAATGCTGTAGACAAGTCAAATCTTTTGGCAAACATGTTTTACTGGAAATACGCAGATTAACCGCTCAGGTGATAACACAGATCCAAATTTCTGATCCCAGCAGCTGCAGGTGGATGAAGACACTCTTCTAAAGAAGACTGGCTGATGTTGGTTATACAGACCTGATTTCAGGAAAACATCCTCATTAAAATATTCTGAGCCACCGTAAAGTCCTGTCTGCAGTAAAAACTTAACGCAAATTAAATGCTGTTCGTTTTGAATACATGATAAACACACAAGCTTCCTCTCTCTCTCTCTCTCTCTCTCTCTCTCTCTCTCTCTCTCTCTCTCTCTCTCTCTCTCTCTCTCTCTCTCTCTCTCTCTCTCTCTCTCTCTCTCTCTCTGTCTCTGTCTCTGTCTCTCTCTCTCTGCACAACCATCAGACCTGTGGAGAAAAAAACCCCACCTTTAACTAATCCTCCAACCTTAATATTGTCAGCAATTAATGCAGCGAAGCATAATTTACCTGCAGTTATTCAATAGTGAAGCAAACCTTTGCTTTCATCAGCAAAAATACATAAAATTATTCAGTAAATCAGGAATGCAGGAAGAAACGTTTTTTCTTTTGTTACATTTTTCACTTCAGTTCAAACTATTTAAAAGTTTGTATTTTCATCACATTTAGCTTGTGTTTTATTAAAAACCTTCAGCTTTATTCATTTGATCAGAACATTTGTTTTGCTTTGTTTGGAAAAATAATAAAAATGAAAGAATTACTTGAAAAGTTTTCTATTAAATGCCATTTAAAGAACGTTAAATGTTATTTAAAAGGCAATCAATAGTTTGTGTAAGTATTTGTTCATTTATGACAAAAACTATGAAAAACTGACATGGCTGTTTAGGATCCGGGCAGGGCTCAGGGTCAGGGACTGAACAGGTTAGCCTTTCCCGTGTGCTCAAAAAGTTCTGTCACTGATCCATTCTAAAGTAAATGTCAGACCATTCACACGACGCAGATTAGTATTTTATTCTCTGAAAGTATCTGATTAGTTAACAAAAAGTGTGTCACTATTTTCCTTGTCATTACTTTGTAATATTGATGTGTAGAAAAATCAACTTGTGACTACAATGCATGTTTAGCGTTTTATACATAAGCGTATTCACACATGGAAAATATCAATGGGAATAAATGGTATGGCCGCAGCTCTTCGATACTTTCATTGTGTAAAAGTAGCTCATGGGCCAAAAGAGGTTGGAGACCCCTGGCGTTCTCCGTCATTCAGGTGTTCTGTTGTCCTTTTAGGTAAAGCAGCTGTTACAGCATGTTGGAGATATCTTACAATGTTTGTTTTACTTCTTTTTATGTGACTTTTCTAATATTCTTTAGTTTCATGAGACGTTTCACTTAGATTAACGTTGACTTTGTTGGTTCTAGATCTTAGCAACGATCTTTATGCTTCCTGCTTCGTTTCTTCTCATTGTCATCAGAATTAAAAGCTTGAATCCAGGACTGTTTTCTCATTGTTTGATAAGTCTCTAATGAAATCCCACAACACTACACCTGCTGTCTCCCACTGCACACTCACCTACTCAGCTCGGTGACTAGCTCTGTTGGCTCTCAGGTGGATTAGTGGAGGATCAGCTGGAGAGCCCATTCCACCTCTGGACTTTCACACAGAACACCAACAAAAGCTTATCAGGAGCAGCTTGGAGGTGTTGCGTGAGCATCTGTTAGGAAACCGGGACAGTTGATCAAAGTTGTGACTGCAGAGCTGCTGAGATGTTTACCTGCTTCAGTTTCTTCACTTCCTGCTGAAGCTCAACTTGTTTGATGAATCATGAAGTGGTTCTGCTCTGGTGTGGAAAGGCAGGACATCCCATATTTTAGAGGCAATGGCTGAAAAGGCTCCATCAGTGTTTCATTTGGTGGCGGGGAAGTCCAGAAGCAGCTGAGATGCTGACCTCAGCGCTCTGACTGGGTCGTGATGCTGAAGCTAATCAGACAAATTTCATTCGCTAGAAGAGTGCGAAACCTCCTGAACCGAATGATGAAACTAACAGGAAGCCAGTGTAAAGAGGCCATACAGGAGTGATGTGGTGGTGCCCTCGCCTACCTGTCTACATCTGCAGGTGATGGAGGTCTGACTGATTTAAAGCAGAGTCTACAGCGCTGCAGCCATCTAACCCAGAATCCAACAGGACAACCGCTTCAGTGAAGCCTGAATCACAGAAAGAATCCAGATCAGATTTCTAGAAGGACAGGAGATAAAATCAGACCCATGTGGTCCAAAATCAAGACCAGATCAAGAGAAAAAACTGGAACAAAGAGCAGAAATTCAGAAGCTTCTTCTTGTGTGAAGAAGAAACTGTAGTTCCACAGAGTTCTTTCTCCTTCAGAAACAAAAGGACATGAAGTTGCTGACTGAAGGTTTTCCATGTGTGGATGAGAGATTTTACAAGGACTCAGGTCCAGTTGATCAGTGTCTCTGCTGTTAAAATGTGTGCAGCCACACAACATTTTCATGGTGCAGACAAACATCTGAGAGGATGTTGTTAGAGATGAAATCAGCTCTCTCACTCGATTAAAGATCCAACGCTTCGGTTCTGATCAGCTGAGGACAGATCCAGTCTGGAAAAGACGACCTTTGGTCACCAGAGTTCACGGAGTAGAGCTAACCGCTTTTCCCTCCAGAGTCACATTCAGATTCGGGGTTTTTCCGTCGGAGAGTGTGAGCAGGATGGGTCAGAGAGCGAGCAGCGATCCTGCATCATGGCCAGCTCAGATGAGCGAGTCTGATAGAGGGAAGTGAAGGGAATAATTGGTCCTTCCAAAAGACAAAACACCCAAACAGAATCTTAGTGCTGTTGTTTCTGCAGTCCAAAGTAGCGAGGACTGTCCAGATGTTTACATCGGGGAAACTAAACAACAATTACACAAGAGCATGGCACAACACAGGAGAGCCACCTCTTCAGGTCAACACTCTGCAGTCCACCTTCACCTGCAGGACAAGGGACACACCTTTGAAAGTGATAAATTACACATTCTGGACAGAGAAGATAGATGTTTTGAGAGAGGAGTAAAGGAAACTATGTCAAACAGGAAAAACCCACTTTACTAAAGGAGGGCAAAGCTCCTCGGATGCTATGCGAAACGTCCTCAAGAAACCAAAGAAGCCTTCATTCGAACCCCTTTGGATTACCATGACCTGGGTGACTGAGAACATTCACCAGCTCTAGACACACTTTTATTCCTCCATGGTGAAGCGCTCAAAAAACCTAGGTTCAGTCAGGCTCAGACCGAGTGTTGTAATGTTAGGAGAGCCTGTTTGGCAGTGGGGTAGGGGTGAGTGGCAGCAGTTGCATGATTTAATCATCTGTCTCTTTTACTTAAGGACACAGAAGAGTTTACAGGAGAGAGTGAGCTCCTCTGAATTAGAGAGCAGTTAGAGAAACAAAGAACATCTGTGCTGCTGTGCCAGCCTGTAAAAGTTTTAATTCTTTTGGTTCATGATGATAAACTGATGTTAAATTCAACTGGAAGAAGTTTGGGTTCATTTTAAGTCACGGGAGATCATGTTTCCGTTTTCTGCTCCTCCCCACATACACAATGGACATGAGGAGATGAGTTAAAATGTTCCCAAAGGGCAGGATAGTGTACCGGTTTGTACTGATTAGTGAAGGCGAAACATCAGCTGGGCAGAATAATCCTAATTCAGCCCACAGCCTCCTGCTCGTGTTATTATGAGCAAGAATAAAGAAGAAGAAAAGATCTTTTCTGTAGCGCCTCTCAAGATAAAAATCACGAGGCGCTTCAAAACAAACATCCCAAAACTTATTGGAAGTTTAGGATAAAAATATATATTTTTGTATTTTCTGAAGGGATGGGTACAGAATTCTGTATTTTTCAGGGCGGCGACCACATTTCGTGGTACTTATCTAGGACCAATTCACATGATATGAAAGAGTGTCGTGTTTCGGTACCTATTCAGTAATGAGATCTTTTGGGAACGTGATTTGCCAGATAGACAGCAATGCATGCACCACAGCATAATGTTGTCCGTTGCTGCAGGCGAGCTGTAAACAGCAAGCTGCACGAGAGGAAGCGCTCTGATATGTGGATACACTTCACTGAATGTGATGGGTGACTGACAATGATCTGAGTGAGGCATCATCATCTTAATCCAACACATTCTCACACCCTAAGCGTCGGAAACAAACGCTTGGTCTGACTCTGACAGTCAGAGTCTGACTGTCAATTTTCGTATTTGCCGCCCAAGGGGAACAATGGAACATACCATCTGGCGAGGGGGAGGTTACACATACCCTCTACTTCTAACGTCCACCTTGGTAGTTGAAACCTCCCCCTCGCGTTGGCTCGGTCCAAACTCGACCAATGACGAGGCGCCTCCCGCCATTCACTTCAGCGAGCCGGCTTTTAGAGCGATCGACACATCACTAACGTGTTAGCTAGCAAGATGGTTAAGGTTAGGATAGGGGTGAGGGGAAGGTTAAATAAGAGGACAAGGTTAGGGTGAGGTACAATGAGCTTGTTTGGTACCCTGGCTGCGGACATCCCATTGTGTCAGTGTAACGCTGCATTGGGATCTGCATTCAAATAAGGGAAAACCCCCTTTTCGCACATAAGTAATGAAAAAGGGCCCTTTTGGCGTCAGGGGTCTGATGTGGAGGGTGGCTGACCAAGCGTGTGTTTTTGACGTAACCTGACAGCAGCCAGATCTCCATGTGTAGCCCCGCCCCGTGTTGAGTCTACACATCTGGAAACCGTCTGAAAGAGGGAGCGCTATCTGGTGGAATATTTTGAGCTGACTGGAGGACATGCTTGGTAGTGCTCGGCTGGCACTGGCTACCATATTTTGTCTTTAGCCAAACACAGTAACAACTCAAATGACATATACGATGTGCGCATGGAAAACAACAACTCGCTCAAGCGTCATTCATTTGCTCATGCAGCAGTTACCATGTCTCTGGTTCTCCTGAGTTTGGAAAACTCCAAATCTCACGAGAATTCATCTTGCAGCGCAAGGTTACTTGATCTGCTCCAACAGGTAAACAATAGGGTTGGGCATCAAGCACTGATTAGAACCGGGACTAACTGTCAGTTTTTCCCAGAATGGTTCAGGTTTTTAAATTTCAATTTCTAGTTTTCAGTTCCCAGTCTTCCCACTGGAAGATTAATCAGTGACCGATCGCCGTGAAAAAAACGTGATCTGCAAATTCTGATACATGCCTTTCAGAGCCGATCATACCAGCTGTCTGTCTCTTACCCAGTTTCTCTTTTGACTTAATCACTTCTGCAGCATGTCGTAGATTCTCAGTCATCCTAGATGCGATCCCCCTGAGAGGTTTAGTGGAAAACAGCTGGACTTTTCTGGTTATGTTAGACATTTTTCCTCTCCCGGAGGCTTCTTCAGTTCCCTTAATTTGGTCGTGGTCAGAAACAAACATTGTGATACAACTTATTTTTCTTTCTTTCTTGAAAACATATTTTTGTCTAAATTAAGGTGATGTTATTGTTCATAGAATTAAAAATCATGTTAAGGTACAGATGATTTCATCAGGTAGGACCTGGGGTCTTACACGTCCTGTACATGTAAAGTTTTTGGATCCTGGCTCTTGAAAGAATCAGAATAAGGAATTGCTAAAGGAACCTGAATCGAAACAAGGAATTGGAATCATTCAAACAATGCTCAACCCTATGCACCACGCCCATTTCAACTTTTTCTGGGACCACAGACGCTTTTTTTAGGGAAAATGGGATTCACCTGAACAAGTCTGGAGTTAAACTGTTTATCTCAAACATTTTACACATGGTGATGATTCTACTGCCCACCCCACAAAAGATGACGATAGCCAACAGGAGCCAAATCTGAAAATCATAACCAGACCACCTCTGTGCTGTTAGGTGTGAAGCAGGCTTTGAGATACGTTTCAGATTGTAAAAATAAAAATTTTCCTAATTTTCGTTCATGTAAAAATGAATTAAACATATTTTGTCAAAAATTTGATGTTAAATAATTTCATGATTATTTAATTTTCAACATTTCCTTCAGATCTCTCCGGCTGTGTCTGAATGGAATGTGTTGCTTTAAAACAGACGACACAATAACAAAATACTTTAATTCTTATCATTTGTTTTTGAAAAATAAATCTGACCTTTAACTATAGATGCTTAGTTGGTTTTGTGGTTAATCAGTAAACTGGTTAAACAAACTGGTAGGGGAATGGTTTGGATCCCAAACTCCAGCAGGGAAGCTGGAGAACATTCATTTACAGAACCATGAGGCGTTTCACTACCAGTGTTGTTCTCTTTCATGTTTGGATTATCATCTTTTCAACACCAGATACCTTTTCGGGTAAGAGCACGTAAAGAAGTGGAACATTCGTCTTATCTGTTTAGAGCGGCAAATAAATAAATGAATGAATTTATTTTTGTTGTACAAGTAACAACTGAGAGGAGCCAGTTGAGGTGGCTTGGGCATCTGGTCAGAATGTCTCCTGGCCGTCACTCTGGGCGTGGGAACCCAAACTCAAAGTGACCCGAGCCCCCAACTGGGTGGCAAACTCCTTCCAAACCCAGGAGATGAACTGTGGGCCTCGATCAGACGCGATCTCTGCAGGGATTTAGTGGAACCGAAAAACGTGTTCAATGAGCAGTTGTGCAGTTTCTGTGGAGGAGGGGGAGATTTGAGAGAGACTAGCTGACGGGCCTTTGAGAAAAGATCAGTGATGGAGAGGATAACAGAAACCCTCGAGAGTGGGGGAGGCCAGTTACAAAATTGATTGCTATGTGTGACCAAGGATGTTTTGGAACAGCAAGAGGGTGTAGGAGACTGTAGGGAGGCTCATGGCTGCTTTTATTCCTGGCGCAGATGTGGCGGGCCGCAACGCTACGGTCCTTCCAACGCCAGGATGAATCGAAAATCTTGCTGTGTGGGCCCAATGAATGAGAGGTCCTCGAATGGTGGTTGGAACAAACAATCCGTTTGGGGGACCCTTACCTGGGCTGGGATCGAGCTTGAGATTCTCTCTGACCCGGTGATGGATGTCCCAGATAACGGCGCCGACCAGACAGGAGGGAGGCAGGATAGTGGCTGGTTCTGGGTTTTTCTCTGGAGAGAACTGCCTGGATAAAGCATCAGGTTTCATGTTTTTGCTGCCGGGTCTGTAAGAAATAACAGACCCGGCAGTGATTCACCTCGAGCAACGTCCCATTCTGTGAGGTCTCCGTCCGGACGGTGCCGTCCATGGGTGCGGGTCGCCCTCCAATCGCTCCCGTCATCCCAATTTTTCGGAAAACCAGATATCCTCCCACTCCAATCAGAAGAAATCCAGCGATCATCAGACCAAATATCCACATATCTTTGATGTCCTCAATGGACAGCTGAGAGAGACAGATGATATTCCACTCCTTCCAGGAATCGAGCATATATCCCGCTGCGTGTGTCCCGTGAGGGCAAGTGGGAGCCCCCTCCTCTGTTCTCATCGTAGAAAAAATCTTATCAATCGCGTTGAATGACCAATTAATTAAATCCATTTCTGAAAAATTGTGATTTCCAGAGGAAATGCAGAGAAGCGCTCTGTAGGCAGACGGGACAAAAAGAGCCTTGGGAAAAGAGATAAGGGAGCAAAGCAGAAGCGACTGTGCTCTGTGAGTGCCAGGAGGAAGAATTTTTTGTTTTGTCCATCTTCATCATAATAATGACAACATTAGATGACAACAGGTGTGAAGCACTTTGTGATTCTATGTCTGTGATAAGTGCTAAATAATTACAATTTACTTACTTATAATTTTAAGTGAAGTGAACCCATCAAAATGAACTTTCACTTGCAGTTTTTATATATTTTGTTATAATTGTCCTGTTTGAAGGAGCTGAATGAAGGAAATACAACCCTGTTCAGCCGGAGTGAGGAGCTGGGAAATTCAGGAAGCTGCTGATGCTCTTCAGCATGAAGATGAGCCAGTTGAGATGGTTCCAGCTTGTTCTGCTAAGAGGAAACCCTAGGGCAAGACCAGGACACACATCAGGGATTATAAAAGACTTTGGGATCCTCCCAGAAATGCTAGTGGAGGTGGATAGTGCCGCTGTTCTCTGTTACTCAGATTTTTTAAAAGTGGAAGGAAGATCAGAATATTTCACTATAAGTGAAACATTATACCATTTAAATCCATTTACGGTTTCAACCAATGACCTGTCACAGACTTGTGCCCTGACACGGTGACTAACACGAACGTAACTTTCCACATTTTTGATGCAAACCAGCTTTCAAAAAAGCTGAATGTCTTTTTAATACAAATCCTGGAGCATTTCCTTGTTCTATTTTTACACAGTTTAGTAAAAAAGATAAAGTTTTTTTTTACCTGACATGGTTCGATGAATGTCTCTAGTCATCATCAGAATCGCCGTGTTGGTGGCGTGACTTCCGTTCCGTGCAATACGAAGATAAACTCAGAAGAGTTTCAAATCCTGGAGCGTTCGCGGAGACCTTTAAGAGATGCATCAGTTACTTATCATCAGCTTCAACTTCCTTCCTTTTCTTCTCTTAAATGATCAGATATGAGACCTCCTACGATAACAGCCATATGTGATGAAACCAAACCCAGTAAGTCTGACTGGGAGCTCGATGGTGGTTGGATCCAGATCCATGATGGTCCCCTACATGACTGGTCGGCTACTTCTGATGACTCTGCTGGTCCAAACTACAGAAAGTGAGTTCAACAGCTGTTTTTATACAGCAGATTTATTTCTCCTAAAAAATTTTTTTTGATGGTAACGTTTTACACAATTGTCATCGTCTCAAAAATAAATCTTAAAAACCTTGTTTTTAAATGTTTTCATTTATTTTTTATGAAATTAGTGAATAAACTTTGAGGTCAGAGCTGTTTTAACCAGCAGACATAAACATGTAACCAATATGGATCCTTTATACCATTGAAAAAAAAAAAAGAAAATACTTTAAATATTTTTACTGGGCCACCATGAGCTTTGACTATGACAGACATTTCTTGTAGTTTTGGTTCATCGAGCCTAAAAACAGCTGAGTGTTCATTTACTCTTAGAGTTCCTGTCATCAGAGGAGCACCGACATCTGTTACATGGGTTTGTACAGATTGACCACATAATTTGAGCATAGGACCTTTCTAGAACCATGGACGTAATTTTGGGGGGGGGGGACAGGGGGGACATGTCCCCCCCACATTTTCCAAAGTCAAGTTTTGACCCCTGCACTTTTTACCATCCAAAACAATATTACACTATATTAAATTAACACTGGTTGAGCTCTAGGACCAAGCGGAAAACAACCGTTTGTGTTGAAGTCTGTTTCCCATTAGAGCATACTGTAAAGATACCCCTCCCCCCTCCTCCCTCCCCCGTGTCCCCCCCACTTCTAAAGTGAAAATTACGTCCATGTCTAGAACTAAGATGATCTCAGACCACATTCACTTTATCACACTGCAGCAGAATAAATCTTCCCTCATCTGACCACATGACCCCAAAGTCCGGTCTTCACACGGACAAGTGGTTTTCTACAGATACCCTTTATTACACACTTATTTGTTCTGCACATTTTTACAGACAAGGGTGCTTATAACCGGTGAGCGTGAGTAAAAAAATTTGCCTATGTACCAGGATTTTTTTTGCCACAACACACTTTTGCATACTGGAATTACATTAGCATTCGCGTAGATCCACGGACGTAGTTTTGACTTTAAAGGTGGGGGGGACACAACCGGCATGAGGACCGGGGGATTTACTGTAAAGCCTAGGGCGCACCGGAGGCAGACATGACGCGCCGCACCATCATTTTAAATAGAAGCCATTATAGTTTATGAGAGTAGGCACACGGGAAGCGCCGTGTCCCTGAGACGCCACGCCGAGGCGTTGAAGATAGGCGCCGCGGCTGTTTACAACATTGTGGAGCACTTTACAACGTGGAACGGCTTTACGGCACAAACCCAGCTGCAGTTTTGATCACTTTAAAATGCTATTGTAGTGGTCGTAAAGGTCAAGAGGTCATCTGTAAAGAAGGTATAGAACTGAACTGTAAATCTTTGGTTTAAAAGCCTGTTTGTCTAAAGTCATTGTTCGTGTTCCGGTTTTCCAAGATCTGCAAAGGAATAGTTTGTGCAGTTTATTCCGAGCAAAGCTGCAGTAGATTTTATTAGGAGAACTGTTTATCAGGTAATGACCGGTGGTCCAGACTTTTAATAACAGTATTTAGACAGGCCCAATAATTCCTGCCAAGTTAAAGTCAACCCTGTAATTAAGGCCCCATTTTTATAAGATATCTGGCTCCAACTCCACCTTTTTAAAAAAACATCTTATCCTCTACACTATTAATCTTAAAAATTTCAAATAGCGTACTAACTTACCCATTTTAATGACTTTGAGTCTCACAAAACACAACAGCAAGTCTGATTACGTGTAAACAATAGAGTCACTTCCCGCTTCCTGTTCTCAAGTCCGTGTGATGTTGTGACTGTCGCGCAACTTTCCAAGAAGCGCTCAACGCTGTGCCGCGCCCTGCGATGGGGTCTTTCCTCAACCCTACAACTCCGAGATCAGAACAGACGGACAACTGGAGACATCAGCTGAGTTTTTACTCTACAGAGGAGTGGAGTAGGACGCCGCCAGACTCACACTGTCTACTTCTCCTCCACAGGATCTTTTTTTTACAAAGAAAACCGAGAGGGGTGGTTACTTTGATAAGAACCGGGTCAGACCGGTTCTGACCACAGAGAGAGGAACAAGCATTTGTGTTCTAGTCACCCCCCAGTCGATCAGCAACAGGAAGAAAGTCACATGGAACACATCCCCACTGCACACAAAACAAGCGTATTTCCGCGACTTCAGAGGCAAACTAAAAGCCGCTTGAGAGGCTGAGTCGGGCCGGCGTGACGCGCTCTTTACAAGCATCAGCCGCCATTTCAAACTTGCATTTCCAAAAACTTTATTAAAGTAACTCCAATTTACTTGAAACATAGCGTGCTCAAAATCAAACAGTACAATTATCACAGCGATCAACTGACGGTCAACAAAAATATGCGGCAACCCGCTCCCCCGCTCCTCCTTTCCCCATATTATCTGAGCAGGTTCTAGAGATGGTGTTAAATCCCCACCCGTGCCTCCTATAAAGTCTTTTTGCATAAGCCTCATCACACACGAACACTGTTTCTACACGTGTTCCTATTGTAGACAGATAATATCGGCTCCTCAAAATCACGGTTGCGATGCAGCGCATCTGCCTCTGGTGTACCCCAGGCTTAAAGAGCAAGTCAACCCCTGCCAGATTCTTACTCAACTCCCTCTTCATGTTTGAAAAATGCAACAAATGCTGTTGCCTTGCAGACCGAGAGGGCGGAGCCGCAAACCAAAACACACACACACAGGCTCACAACGACATTGTGACATCATAAGGACCAGTTTACATCATAGCATACCTCTTAGCCAATAGCGGTGGCAGATTTAAATTCAAATGCAGTGCAGAGTTTTTACCTGACGAGGGGACAACACTGCCAGTTTTAGGCAGAATATTTAAATTTTAACTGCACTGAAGTACCAAATTATTGACTACACGTGTCTGCAGCACGATTAGACACTCGTTTATGTAGTTTATCAGCAAAAAAAAAGTTGATTTGGGGGTGACTTGCTCTTTAAGTATACGCAAACTATGCACAAAACTACAGCCTAAAGGCTCTTTTATGCAATGTCAGGAATGCAGAACTGTCAAGTACACAGGTGGCAGTAAAATAAAACTCCAATGTGAAACCCGAGTGAAAGCATTCCACACAGCTGATCCCATGACATCACCAAATCAAGGGTAAACTTGCAACACCACTCATAACTTCACATGTCAATACACAATCATAGACGAGCAGAAAGACAACTGCATGCATAAAAATATGTCTGTGGGTTACTTTCTATTGTGTTTACATCAGTAACATAAGTTCGCATGAAATTGCATACTGCACACATAGGCGGGCCCCATATGGAACCTATATGGGTCCCACCAGGGTTTGTCCGCAGTTTCCATGGTGGCCCCACAGGGGTTTGCCCAGAGAGATCAGGGGCTTAGATTGTGGGTAAACCCCTGTGGGGCCACCGTGGAAACTGCGAACAAACCCTGGTGGGACCCATACGGCTTGCCCATATAGGTTCAAAATGGGATCCACCTATGTGAACTGGCTGGGTTTATTTTGAAGGTTTTCGGGTGTTCTACGCTGCTTTTGTGTTTGACTTCTAGTTGGGCTCGATCTAAACTCAACTGCTGAGTTTGACGTGTTTTGGAAGTTTCAAATGTTTGGACCAACAGCACCACCCAGTGGTAGTTTGATGAAACTACTGTAATATCGGGGGTGGGGGGTGGGGGGAAGCTATTAAAATACCCATAAATCAATGCAAGTAATATAAATTTTATTTGAAACAACTGAAATCGAGAGCCATCTCTCATTCTTAAGCAGCGTAATGTTGTTTTTGGATGGTAAAAAGTGCAGGGGACAAAAATTGACTTCAGAAAAAGCATGGGGGACATGTCCCCCCGTCCCCCCCAAAACTACGTCCATGCTACTGTCTATTTGTTTCTGTAACCTGTGCCAACCAAGTTGGAAAAAGTGAGTACACACATTACAAGCTGGCTCCCAGCAGGATCTGCTGGTACCACAGGAGAACTTCAGCCACCATGAAAGCTCAAACACCAAAAGCTTTTGTTTATGAGCATTCCAAAATTCAGTCTTTAAAAGAAAAATACTGAGTTCAGTTCCACTAGCCACAGCCAGACCTGATTACTACCAGACCTGTTCCATTAGGAAATACTAACTAATGAAAGTATTAATAAAACCTGTTAAACTACATGATGAAAGCTAAGAGATCTTGAAAAGTACAAGACATTATTCCCAGTTTGAAAGTAATTCCAGAACAAAAGAACCCAGAACAAAATCTAAAGTCCTGCAGGCTTCACTTGATTCAGGTTAAGGTTTGTACATTTTATACTATAAAATAATATTAAAATTGAGGTTAGATAATAAAATGTAATATAATTTAGGTTTGAACTCCAACGTTACCATGATCACTGTCAGCATTGTTACGAGTTTCTCCTCTTTAGACCAAGAATGGATGGAACAGACGACCCATAAGCCTGATACTTCTGAACATTATCAGGAGTTTTGCCTGCATGTTCCCAAAGCTCCCACTTGGACCAGTTCAAAATCCCCAGCCCAAATGCCAGTACCCACACCAACTAGGACCGCCAACCCAAAAGCACCCTTGATCGTTGCAAACTTAAAAAGTGGGGTGAGGTCAGCTCCGGAACCTGTTCCCAGAGGTGAGAAGTAACTTGTTCATTTACTTGAGTAGCTTTTTAAAACAATTGTACTTCCAGGTGTATTTTTACTGCATTGTGCTTTATTATTCTTATCCTTCTTATCCGGCTCTCAGAGAGTACAGACGCTTTTTGCTTCAGCTCCTTTATCTGCTTTTCCCCAAGGCTCTCTGTCCTGTCTGCCTACAGAGTACTTCTCTGCATTTCTCCTGAAAATCACTACTTCTTTTTGGAAAATGGACTTAATTAACTGGTCATTCAACGCGATTGAGAACGGAGAAGGGGGCTCCCACCTGTCCTCAAGGGACATTCGCAGCGGGATATGCACTCGATTCTTGGGAGGTCTGGCGAATCGTGTGCCTCTCTCAGCTGTCCATCGAGGACGTGGAAGATTTGTGGATATTCGGCCTGATGATCACTGGATTTCCTCTGATTGGAGTGGGAGGATATCTGGTTTTCTGGAAATTTGGGAAGACGGGAGCGATTGGAGTGCGACCCGTACCCACGGAATGTGCCGCCCGTGCGGTGACCTCACAGACTGGGACGTTACTCGAGGTGAACCGTAAGCTGGACAATGTCCTCGCGGCGTTGCCTGTGTTAGTGCGCAAGATGGATGTCATCTCGGAGAGGGTCGCCAGACGGTGTGGGGATGTTTAGAACGTACAATTGGCTTCACTGGTGGACATAAAGGATCACTTAATAGACTCCAAGGCAGAGAGGAAAACTTATCTCTGTCTGCCCCAAACAAAGTCTTGTTTATCCTTATCTGACGCCAAGGGCAGCCTCCAAAGCTGCCATCAATATCACCCCCACGAAAGGAGGAATGCTGACAGATGCTGTGACCCAACCTTCAGATTGTGACTTCTGCTTCGAGGTCATCAACCTGCAGGAAACTCAATGTGCTCTCTGGCCCTCATCTCTCCCTCCCACCTGTTTGACTGCAGCTGTGAGCGCCGTACACTGGCGCTCCCGTTGGAGGATTCAGGAGTCTATTCTCTATAGGAGCGTCCAATAGAGAGTGTGAGGGACCACAGATCTGCCCCCCAAAGATGCGTGGGAGATGGAAGGAGCTCCAAGTCTCAGAGATCCAGGAGCTGTCACAGAGCACAGGGACCCCAGGGAGACTGCAACCAGAAAAGCCCCTGCCCCCCTCATGAGAGACTTAGAGGATTGCCCTGGGGGCCACAACCAGCAGCCGGCAGAGTCCGGGGAGAGAACAGCAGCAAGCCCACAGGCCCGCCCGCAGCTTCCTACCCCCAAGCTGACTGGGCCCAGGACCCAACACCCCGGGACCCTGGGGCAACCAACCCTGCCGGGGACCCAACAGAGCTCAGGGATGCAGATCCCACTAGGCAGCCACCGGGAGCAACCAAACAGATGCCAAAAATCTTAAGCCCCCCGAATCGGGGAGCCGCGAACACGCAGGCAGACCAAAGCACCTCACTCAGCAGCAAATGTGGCAGGGGGAGGGCAGGCCAAGATGTGTAGCAGCACAGGAATACCCAAGAGAGGGGAGGAGTCCAAAACCCCACCTGACATATACAGTCATACACAAACACAGTCAAACACTCCCTCCCTCATGCTCGCACATGCACCCACAACCGGAGACTTACAAAAGTGAACACCAGACACCCACTCACTCTCCCCATGCATACCCTATTCACTCTGGTCCTGGTACTGCTGCACAAACTGTACAACCATCCCAGGACCAAATTTAGCCCCGTTCTGCTGGGGCGATGTTGAGCATGCACCCCCATCTAACGCCGAGCAAAGCAACCCATCGCCTCAGACCCCAACCAGATAGCCAGCTCCCCCTCCTAGCCTCCAGCCCCGGTACGCCAAGCAAGAACAGAGGTGAGTTAAGACCCCTAGTCTCCCTTCCCCTGCTCAAATGCAGTGTTGATGCATGTTGATTAAGTGCATTTTGTAGCTTGGGGGTCAATGCAGGCGTCATCATTCCCCCACAGTCCTCTGTGTCTAAGTGCAGTTTAAAATTGGATGCGGGCACCGGCACTCGGGGTGAGGCTGAATCATCTCCCTGCCAAATGCCGTTGAGTGTGCTCACTCCCAAGTACCTAGGAGTTTGATATACAAGTAAAATTGGGGGGCAGGCTGCCACTGGACTGTGGAAATGGGATCCATACCCACACTCCCTGACTTCCCCACCCCTCAAGGTCCTATGTACATGTTTGTGTGATGATGTGAGGGAGCAGTAGGAGGAAAATATATGGGGATGGGGATGAATGGCTGGGGGTCCAAAAGCCCTCCAGGGAGCCAGCTCCCCCGCTGGCCCCAATAGGCACCTCCATTCCCAAAATACCACCTGGGGCATGGAGACCTCAGCCCATCTCGCCAGGGCCCAAAACAGCAGCATTGCAGAGCCCCACGGAGTCCGAGGGCACCAACCCAGCTCCACCCCAGCAGAATATCTACTCCCATACCTGCATTTGTCCAACTTCCAGAATATTTAAGACATAAGACATCCAGGTAAGGCTAGGTCCTCCCCCTTCTGGACATCCCCCTCCCCCATGATGGAACAGAATTGTTACCATTATTTCAGAGGAGCCACGGTCCACCTGGGGCCCCATAAGCCTGGGCCCAGCTCTGCCATGCGTTCCCGCCTTCCTCCAGGCAGCCTTCAAGTTAGGACCCAATCCCCAGGACCCCGCCCAGATCCCTGCACGGGGCCGGCCACCCCCACATCACGAGCCCCCGGGCCCCCACTCAGACCCACCCAGGTGTGATACAGCCACCAGACAGCAACCTGTAGACACCACCAAGACCCCTCAACTGCATTGTGCTTTTTACTTTTAAATCAATCAATCAATCAATCAATCAATCAATCAAGGTTGATTTACAGAGCACTTTTCACAACATGGGGAGGTGTCAGAAGTGCTTTACTTACAACGATACGGACAAAAAATAAAATAAACAAACAGAGCGCAGGACGTGATTAATGGCAGTCCACCTGAATAAACACACACACACACACACACACACACACACACACACACACACACACACACACACACACACACACACACACACACACACACACATGTTGACTGTTACTTTTACTTAAAAGTGGAATATAGAACATTTTTATAAAAAAAAACTATATTTAAAAAAAATATCTCCACCTGGTGTTTAGAGGTGTGCAGAATGAATGTAAAGTTTCTCCTTTAAAAGCTAAATTTACAACAAAAAAAATCTACATTTTATTTTGAGGGCACAACGCTGGGTTTATGTTTACATCTACCAGCCAACGGGGGGCGCCATTGTGGTTAAAAGTCTGCTTGGAAAGGCGAGGCTGGGACTGAAGTGGCGGATTCGTTAAATCTAGCAGCTGATTCTGAGCCCAGAAGATGTTATAACTGTAAATATTGTTGTAAAATTAACTTATTAGTAGATATTATCCTTAACCTGTACGATTTGTCACTGGACATGGTGCTGGCTGGTCACTTAATGTGTCAGCAGTAAACCAACACCCCGACAGCTGGAAAATGTTTTCTGTTGCTGCAGCTACCACCTCACTAGATGTCACTATAGTGTCCATGTTCCATATTTAACCTTTAAGTAAAATCTTTCGATACTCTAGTCTGCCAATTCATTTAAACTGTCTTACAGTACTCTAACACACCTCTTACATACTAACATATACTTTTCTTTTTGTGGAATTACAGTCCGTGCTCCAGCGCCCAGCGGCTGTCGCTGCCAAAAGGGTAGCCGGAAAAAACTTAGTGGGCGTGGCATGGTCAGAAGGCAGATCATTCGGCAGATCGTTCAGTTTCCCACTATAACATGTGGCTTTACTGAATACTTGTAAGTGTGTGTGTGTGTGATTCTTTAAAGAGGTTAAATTGTCATTATAATAATACAATAATTATGATAAAGTTGTCAACCAAATAACTGATTTGGTCGATAGCTTTCCTGTGCTGTAAGTGATTAAAAGCATTTGTTCTCATAATAATATAAGACTAGGATTATGAAAATGGTAATTCATGCATTGTGTGTCATGCAAACCACATGTTGGAACATGTTATATCATCAGTTTTATACAAAGAAAATTCAAACTGGAATGAAAAATAAATATTTATACTAACTGAAAAATGCATCGCAGGTGTTGTCGTTACAGGAGTTTTATAAAAAGCCACCACTTCAGAAATATGTGGATATATGTAACAGTTAGATAAAAGATGACCCTGTTTTCTATACAGATGACAGTTTTTTATAAACACTAAAAGCTGAAAAAACACTCAGGTCCACCATCAAATCCTGACAGATACCTACATACCTGCAGTATTGTCTAAACAGGTCACTAAATGTAACGGTATAAATTCAGTAGCAGTGCTACACATGATGCTACTCATGTGCTTTTTCCATGTAATTGTAGACACCTGAATAAACATGTTTCCTTGTTTTTCAGCAAGTATTTGGAAGATGGAAGGCAGGTCTGTGTAGATCCGTTCCGCCTCGCTAGTTACTTTTTACAGTAAGTGTTAATTTTATTAACAAAGTATTTTATCCAGTTCTTTATTGATAATTTGTTTTTGTGGACAAAAAGGAAATTAAAGTAAAAAACTGTTTGGATAAACACTAAAACAACTAAATTCATCACTATTTTCACCAACGATGGAAAGACGAGATGAAATTGGCAAAGGTGAAAGATGCGAGAAACGGACAAATGAACACTCAACAAGTGGAACAGGTGGGACTAGATGAGAAAAGAGCCAGTCAGACTCCGCCCTATTGAGAGGTGAGGTGGAGCTAGACACTGTTTGACCAAGCTCCCAGGAAGACAACAGCTGAATAATGTAGGTCACGTGGAAGAAAACGCCCACAGCTGGGAGAAAAACCATTAAATGTGACAACCTGAAAAATATTTGCTAGATGAATAAAATATCCAGGTTCATTATGTTAGATATTCACAACTCATGAGCATGTAACGATATGTTGCATGCATGTAATCAATACAGATTGATAGTAGGACCGGTCAATATCTCCACGTTTTAGAAACATCCATTCGTTTCCAAAAAGGTCACAAGTTGACCTAGTAAAGTATCAACATAAATACACAACCAGTGAATATGCAGAGTCAGGCGTCACTGCTGCTCGCTTGCTGCTTCTCTGATGGGTCACGGTCATCACATGAATTTTTTGTGATCATTTGCTGACCAAATCTACAAAAAAGTTGTTTAGATTAGCAAAAACTGTTGCAATTGGCTTCACGAGTTTACATTTTTGAGGGACAGTCGTGTTTTGGAGAGCCTTTTCACCATGACTGACAGCAACTGCATTACACTGTGGAGACCACGGACAGCTCCTTCAGAGGCAGACTGACATCCCAGATGTAAAACAGACCTCTACCGTAGGTCAGTCATCAAGTCCTCAGTTTCACTGATACTGGCATGAACCTGGTACACAATAACACCAGTGCAATCAGCAGAGGTGTGACCAAGTCACTGCTTTGCAAGTCACAAGTCTGTCCAGTCAAGTCTCGAGTCAAGTCCAAGTCAAAGACAACCAAGTCTAAGTCGAGTCCAAAGTCAATTAATTGGAAGTCCAAGTCAAGTCCAAGTCCTTTTTGAAATTTCAAGTCATAATCAAGTCATCTGTCCAACTGCAATTTAATGACGATGATAATAAATTTCAGGATTAAAGCTTCATTTATTTGCCCAAACAAGCAGAAACTGAAACTGATTATAAACAAAGAGCTGCTGCATTCAGCACTAAATCAAACCCAGAACGAAGAATGATTCACGATTTTCGTCCATGTCGTGCCATTTTTGTGCTAAAATATCAAAAATGCTCAAGTCATCAAGTCAACAGATGCAAGTCGATTCAAGTTGAAAGTCACTGGCATTCAAGTCCGAGCCAAGTCGTAAGTCTTTAAAAATTTTATCAAGTCAAGTCAGAAGTCATTAAAATAATGACTCGGGTCTGACTCGAGTTCAAGCCATGTGACTCGAGTCCACACCTCTGGCAATCAGTCATTCACCCATTCACACACACATTCACACCTTGGTGGGGATGAGCTACGATGTAGCCACAGCTGCCCCGGGGCGCACTAACAGAGGCGAGGCTGCCGAGCACTGGCGCCACCACCAGCAGGCAACGTGGGTTAAGTGTCTTGCCCAAGGACACAACAACAAACTGAGCGGGGCTCAAACCTGCAACCTCCTGATAACGGGGCGAGCACTTAACTCCTGTTCCACCGTCGCTCCAATAAAATCTACTCTATTCTACTTTGGTTTTCTTTGTGTGGAGAGAAAGGCCAGTTGACATACTTGTTAATATTGGGAGACAATATTGATGACATCGTGTGTTTCTGTATCATCCAGTATTCGATTCATTTCAACAACTATTCAAAAACAGTTGAATTGTGTGTTTCTCTTATTACATTACAGTTTTAAGTAGGCCCACGTGTGGTCGCCACTCCCTTTACAGAAGTAGAAAACTATTGTGTGGATACATTTTAGATGAATTAACACATTTTTTATTTAGTGGAATGAAAATAAGCAAACCCTAAAACAAAAAGGAAGACTGAATCCTGGCTAAAATGAAAAATAATTTGAGTCAAAAGACCGAGGCTAAAACTAGACCATTTTTTTCTTGGCAAACCGGAACTGGTCGGGACTGTTGTCTAAACGTTTGAAAAAAAAAAGGCTTTTGTACATCTGCTGGTGAGGCTTTGAGTTAATATGCAGATCTTAGCTGCCACCCATTTCCTGCAGATAACATGTAAATGTTTTGAACATCCTGGGTAAACAATTTCTGTAAGAAGATTTATTTTTTTGAAAACATCAAACATCTCAACCAACCTACAGCTCCCTGTTTAACCCCACAACCAAGCCAAGAACCACCAAACCTCCTTTGGTCTCAACAACTTTACCCCAAACCAGAAATGACTTGATTGCAAACGCTGATGCTTCTCTGGAAGCCGATGAAACCACGGATGTTAAAGGTGAGTATTCTCACTCAGAGACACACAGTCTGTTCTAAAGTTCGGTTTGTCCCTAACCACTGAGTCTTTCTAGGGCTCGGGTCTTCTCTTAATGGGGAACTCATTAAACATCCTCGAATCCTCGAAATCGATCCTGGTACATTCATCATAGTACCTCAGACAATACAAATACGTGAGTATCAACATAAAAGAACCAGTTATATTACAAAAAAGAAATGATGTGTTATGAATAAATGTGTAACTTCTACATTTACAGTACAATGCAAAAGATGTGGATCTTTCATGACCCGTTTGAACAATGTTGAGGTTATAAATAAGATAGATTACAGTAAAAAATAAGATGGATTACAGTAATAAATAAAATAGATTAGAGTAATAAATAGAATAGATTACAGTAATAAATAGATAGATTACAGTAATAAATAGATTGGTTACAGTAATAGATAGATTACAGTAATAAATAGATGGATTACAGTAATAAATAAGATAGATTACAGTAATAAATAAGATGGATTACAGTAATGAATAAAATAGATTACAGTAATAAATAAGGTGGATTACAGTAATAAATAAAATGGATTACAGTAATAAATAAGATGGATTACAGTAATAAATAGATAGAACAGTAATAAATAAGATGCATTACAGTAATAAATAGATAGATTACAGTAATAAATATATGGATTACAGTAATAAATAGATAGATTACAGTAATAAATAAGATGGATAAGGTTAACAAATAAGATAGATTACAGTAATAAATAGATAAATTACAGTAATAAATAAAATGGATTACAGTAATAAATAGATAGATTACAGTGATAACTAGGTGGATTACAGTAATAAATAAAATGGATTACAGTAATAAATAGATAGATTACAGTAATAAATAAGATGGATTACAGTAATAAATAGATAGATTACAGTAATAAATAAGATAGATTACAATAATAAATAGATAAATTACTGTAATAAATGAGATGGATTACAGTAATAAATAAGATGGATTACAGTAATAAATAAGATAGATTACAGTAATTCATAAAATGGATTACAGTAATACATGAGATGGATTACAGTAGTTCATAAAATTGATTACAGTAATAAATAAGATGGATTACAGTATTAAATAAGATAGATTACAGTAATAAATAAGATGGATTACAGTAATTCATAAAATGGATTACAGTAATAAATAAGATGGATTACAGTAATAAATAAAATGGATTAGGTTAATAAATAGATAGATTACAGTAATAAATAAGATGGATTACAGTAATTCATACAATGGATTACAGTAATGAATAGATGGATTACAGTAATAAATAAAATAGATTACAGTAATGAATAAGATGGATTACAGTAATTCATTAAATGGATTACAGTAGTAAATAAGATGGATTAGGTTAATAAATAGATGGATTACAGTAATAAATAAAATGGATTACAGTAATAAATAAAAATAGATTACAGTAGTAAATAAGATGGATTACAGTAATAAATAGATAGATTACAGTAATAAATAAGATGGATTACAGTAATGAATAAAATAAATTACAGTAACAAATAAGATGGATTACAGTAATAAATAGATGGATTACAGTAATAAATACAATAGATTACAGTAATAAATAAGATCGATTACAGTAATTAATAAAATAGATTACAGTAATAAATAGATGGATTACAGTAATATATAAGATAGTTTACAGTAATAAACAGATAGATTACAGTAATTAATAAGAAGGATTACAGTAATTAATAAGATGGATTACAGTAATAAATAAAATGGATTACAGTAATAAATAAGATAGATTACAGTAATAAATAAGATAGATTACAGTAATAAATAGATTACAGTAATAAATAGATGGATTACAGTAATAAATAGATGGATTACAGTAATAAATAAAATGGATTACAGTAATAAATAGATAGATTACAGTAATAAATAGATGGATTACAGTAATAAATAGTTTACAGTAATAAACAGATAGATTACAGTAATAAATAAGATGGATTACAATAATAAATAAAATGGATTACAGCAATAAATAAAACAGATCACAGTAATAAATAGATTACAGTAATAAGTAGATGGATTAGGTTAATAAATAGATAGATTACAGTAATAAATAAGATAGATTACAGTAATAAATAAGATGGATTACAATAATAAATAAAATGGATTACAGCAATAAATAAAACAGATCACAGTAATAAATAGATTACAGTAATAAATAAGATGGATTAGGTTAATAAATAGATAGATTACAGTAATAAATAAGATAGATTACAGTAATAAATAAGATGGATTACAGTAATAAATAAAATAAATTACAGTCATAAATAAGATGGATTACAGTAATAAATAGATGGATTACAGTAATAAATACAATAGATTACAGTAATAAATAAGATGGATTACAGTAATAAATAAGATCAATTACAGTAATTAATAAAATAGATTACAGTAATAAATAGATGGATTACAGTAATAGATAAGATAGTTTACAGTAATAAACAGATAGATTACAGTAATTAATAAGATGGATTACAGTAATAAATAAAATGGATTACAGTAATAAATAAGATAGATTACAGTAATAAATAAGATGGATTACAGTAATAAATAAGATAGATTACAGTAATAAATAGATAGATTACAGTGATAAATAGGTGGATTACAGTAATAAATAAAATGGATTACAGTAATAAATAAGATAGATTACAGTAATAAATAAGATGGATTACAGCAATAAATAGTTTACAGTAATAAACAGATAGATTACAGTATTTCAGTTCAATTCAAGTTTATTTATATAGCGCCAAATCACGACAAGAGTCGTCTCAAGGCACTTCACATAATAAAAATTCCAATTCAGGTCAGTTCATTAAGCCAATCAGAAATAATGTTTCCTATATAAGGAACCCAGCAGGTTGCATCAAGTCACTGACTAGTGTCAGTGACTACGTCCTCATACTAAGCAAGCATGCAGCGACAGTGGAGAGGAAAACTCCCTTTTAACAGGAAGAAACCTCCAGAGAATCCTGGCTCAGTATAAGCAGCCATCCTCCACGACTCACTGGGGATGGAGAAGACAGAGCACACACACACACGCACACACACACACACACACACACACACACACACACACACACACACACACACACACACACACACACACACACACACACACACACACACACACACAAGTAATGTGTCTATAGTTATATTGTGATGTCTTAGTAAATATTGTATTTGGTGAAAGATAAACTTTATTGTATTTATCCTAGTGGATCTATAATTAAACGGGTAAACTAGTATTAGCTCATCAAAAGTCAATGAAAACAAAAAGTTATTATCAGGAGAGGGAGAATGTTTAAGTGGTTAGCAGCAGTGTGCTAGTCGATGGCCCCCTCCATGAGGCCACCACAGCTCAGCAGAACGTCATTGTAGCATCTTCTGGGGAGAAAAACACCTATAGAGAAAATAAAGTTAACAGCTGAAATTGCAGAAAATAGTACAGTTAAAGAGCAGACTGTAGAAGAAAGTATTAGTGTGAAAAGTGGTCAGTGTATCCTCCAGCAGTCTAAGCCTATAGCAGCATAACTACAGAGATAACTCTGGATACCCTATCCTTTTAGATGGAGGCATGTTGGAGGCAGGGCAAGAGAGAGCCGTCTTTACCGACTGTACACTCCACCTCCCTGTACTCCCCCACTTGTCCAGATTTAGGCTAACATCAGATTTTAACCATAGGCCCTATCAAATAAAAATGTTTTAAGCCTATTCTTAAAAGTAGACAAAGTGTCTGCCTCACGGACTAAAGCTGGGAGCTGGTTCCACAGGAGAGGAGCCTGATAACTAAAAGATCTGCCTCCCATCCTAAGTTTAGATATTCTTGGAACCACCAGTAAACCTGCAGTCTGAGAGCGAAGTGCTCGGTTAGGAACATATGGAACAATCAGATTACTGATGTATGATGGAGCTTGATTATTAAGAGCTTTATATGTGAGAAGAAGGATCTTAAAATCTATTCTGAATTTAACAGGTAGCCAATGTAGGGAAGCTAAGACAGGAGAGATATGATCTCTCTTTTTAAATCTCATCAGAACTCTAGCTGCAGCATTTTGGACAAGCTGAAGACTTTTAACTACATTCTGTGGACTTCCTGAGAGTAATGAATTACAGTAATCCAGTCTTGATGTAATAAATGCATGAGCTAGTTTTTCAGCATCACTCCTGGAAAGGATGCTTCTAATCTTAGCAAGATTCCGAAGGTGGAAAAACGGAAATCTGACAAACTTGTGAAACCTGGAATTTGAATGACATGTCCTGGTCAAAGATAACACCAAGGTTCCTTGCTTTGTTCTCGGAGATTAATGTAATGCCATTCAAGTCAGGTGATTGGCTAAGCAATTTCCTTTTCTGGATTTCTGGTCCAAAGATGAGAACTTCCGTCTTGTCTTGATTTAAAAGCAAAAAGTTTAGAGTCATCCAATGTTTTATGTCCTCAAGACAAGCCTGTAATCTACCCAACCGATTAGGTTCATCAGGGTTAATGGATAAATATAACTGAGTATCGTCAGCATAACAGTGGAAGTTAATCCCATGCTGTCTAATGATTTTACCAATTGGGAGCATATATATAGTAAAAAGAATTGGTCCAAGCATTGAACCCTGTGGTACTCCGCAAGTAACCCTGGAGTATGAAGAAGATTTGTCATGTACATTTACAAAATGAAATCTGTCAGACAGGTAGGATTTAAACCAGCCTAACGCTGTTCCTTTGATCCCTACAACATGTTCAAGTCTTTCTAAAAGAACATTGTGATCAACTGTGTCAAAGGCAGCACTGAGATCTAACAAGACTAGAACAGACACAAGATTCTTATCTGAGGCCATGAGAATATCATTTGTAACTCTCACTAATGCAGTTTCAGTGCTGTGATACTCTCTAAAACCAGACTGAAATTCCTCAAACAGAGCATTAGTGTTTAAATGCTCACATACTTGGATGGCCACTATTTTCTCCAGGACTTTGGATAAAAATGGAAGGTTAGATATTGGTCTATAATTCATTGGGTCATCTGGATCCAGAGAAGGCTTCTTAAGTGAAGGTTTGATTACAGCAACCTTAAAATCCTGTGGTACATACCCATTTACTAAGGATAGATTGATTATATCTATAATGGGGGCAGTAACCAAAGGAAATGCATCTTTAAATAATTTGGCTGGGATTGGATCCAAAATGCAAGTTGAAGGTTTAGATGAAGCTAATATTTTTGATAACTCTGAAAGCTCAACTGGATCAAAACGGTTCAAGCACAGATGGGGTTCTAAAGTCACCTCTGAAGCTGCCTCACTTACTGAGGAAGAAGAAATCGCATTAGGGAGGATGCTAAAGATTTTGTTTCTAACAGAATTAATTTTACTTGTAAAAAATCCCATGAAGTCATTGCTGCTGAAGGCTAAGGGAATAGATGGCTCAGAGCTATGATTCTGTGTAAGTTTAGCAACTGTACTGAAAAGAAATTTAGGATTATGCTTATTCTCCTCAATTAATGCTGAAAAATAAGCAGTTCTAGTTTGTTGAAGCTTATTTTTATAAAGCACAAGACTATTTTTCCAGGATAGGTAGGCCTCCTCATGGTGCGTAGAGCGCCATGTTCTCTCCAGTTTCCTAGAGTTTTGTTTTAAGGCTCGTAGATGAGAGTTAAACCAGGGAGCCAACTTCCTGTCCCTAATTACCTTCTTTTTTAAAGGGGCAACATCATCTAATGCCTCACGTAAAGAAGAATTAACATGATGGCCTAAGGCATCAATTTGTGAGGGGCTAGAACTGAAAATATTGCCCTCTGCTACATGCCTCTGAGATGCTGAGGACAGTAAAGATGGAACAGTTGATTTAAAAGACGCAACTGCGTTGTCAGATAGAGACCGACTATAGTGAAATTTACTTTCATGTCTCGAGAACTCAGTTATAAAAAACTCAAAGGTTATCAGAAAGTGGTCCGAGAGGACTGGATTATGTGGAAAGATCGTTATTTCCTCACACTCAATGCCATAAGTCAGCACAAAGTCCAATGTATGAGGGCAGGCGTGGGTGGAGCTATGTATTCTTTGAGTGAAAACAATTGAGTCTAAGATATTACTAAAGGCTACATTGAGGCTATCATTTTCAATGTCCACATGAATGTTGAAATCCCCCACTACAATGACCTTATCAGTATTTAGCACCAAATCAGATAAAAAATCAGAGATCTGATCCAAAAACTCAGAGTAAGGGCCTGGTGGACGATATAAAACTACAAACAAGAGTGGTTTTACAGTTTGCAATCTGGATTAGGAAAACTAAGAATAAGATGTTAGAACGAACTGTAACTATTAATCTGTAAGGGACTGATTAATAAGTCCGAATGAAAATGGTTGCCACTCCTCCTCCTCGCCCTGTACTTCGAGCAATATGATGATTTAAATAATTTGAAGGAGTCGACTCGTTTAAGCTAACATAGTCCTCTTGCTGCAGCCAGGATTCTGTGAGAGAGAGCAATGAGATATGATTATCACAAATCAAGTCATTAACTAACAAAGTCTTAGAAAAAATGGATCTAATGTTCAACAACCCACATTTAATTTTTCTAGTTTTCTGCTCAGTTGAATTTGTTCTAATATTTATGAGATTTCCATGGTTTGCTTTATTAAGCCTGATATTTAATTTTTGTGATTTTGGCCGTGGGCAGGACACTGTCTAGTAATAAATAAGATGGATTACAGTAATAAATAAAATGGATTACAGCAATAAATAAAACAGATTACAGTAATAAATAGATTACAGTAATAAATAAGATGGATTAGGTTAATAAATAGATAGATTACAGTAATAAATAGATAGATTACAGTAATAAATAGATTACAGTAATAAATAAGATGGATTACAGTACTTAATAGTTTACAGTAATAAACAGATAGATTACAGTAATAAATAGATGGATTACAGTAATAAATAGTTTACAGTAATAAACAGATAGATTACAGTAATAAATAAAATGGATTACAGTAATAAATAGATTACAGTAATAAATAAGATAGATTACAGTAATAAATAAGATGGATTAGGTTAATAAATAGATAGATTACAGTAATAAATAAGATAGATTACAGTAATAAATAAAATGGATTAGGTCAATAAATAGATAGATTACAGTAATAAATAGATGGATTAGAGTAATAAATAGATAGATTACAGTAATAAATAAGATAGATTACAGTAATAAATAAGATGGATTACAGTACTTAATAGTTTACAGTAATAAACAGATAGATTACAGTAATAAATACAATGGATTACAGTAATAAATAGTTTACAGTAATAAACAGATAGATTACAGTAATAAATACAATGGATTACAGTAATAAATAGATTACAGTAATAAATAAGATAGATTACAGTAATAAATAAAATGGATTAGGTTAATAAATAGATAGATTACAGTAATAAATAAGATAGATTACAGTAATAAATAAGATGGATTAGGTTAATAAATAGATAGATTACAGTAATAAATAAAATGGATTAGGTTAATAAATAGATAGATTACAGTAATAAATAAGATAGATTACAGTAATAAATAGATAGATTACAGTAATAAATAAGATAGATTACAGTAATAAATAAGATGGATTACAGTAATTAATAAGACAGATGGATAATGGATTGATCTTGTGAAGGAGAGTTTTAACATTTATAAAGCCAGATAAACAATGTATAGAAGGAGGTAGCAGCAGCAATGGAACAGCAGTTTCAAATAATTTTATTATATATAAAATATTAGTTTATTATTTATAAAAACAATTGACAGACTGAAAAATGTACAAGTCTAGGTTTTCTATGCAACAGTTACAGATGAAAGGTAATCCCACGTTGTCTCAGTTTGTCACAGCGGCGATTCGAGCATCCGTAGGCTGCACGAAAGTCAGCCATGTTGACCCTCGAGCTTCACAATTAATAAAGGTGTATTTCTGCAAACACAAATCCAGAAATGTCCGGTTTTAATATCCCAATGTTAGTTTTGTGTAACAAACCAAGATACTTAAAAATCACGGGCAATTAAGCATTAATTTATTTAAAATAAAAGGAGCGACTCCTACTGAGGTAAAGAGTAAACTTTGTTTTGCTAAGCAGTCCACCCACCGTAGCCTCGTCATCTCTAAGCCAAGTTAGACAGCTAATAAATACAGAAACATCCACAAACAGCCATTTACACAACAATGTGGCGGTCGTAAAGTCGTTATTGGTTTTGTAGAACCACATAAAATACTGATTGTGGTCTCAACCTGAATAACATGCAGATAGCCTAGACGGGACACATGGCTCACAATTAAGCCACTTTCAAAAGCAAAAGCGTTACTTTCAACATGTGCAAGTACGTTGTCTCAGGCCCATGTCTTCTAAGGGTTGTAACAAGGCAAACCGCTTGTAAATCCGTTAAGCAGTGAATCCGTAAATCCGTTGAGCAGTGTATTTTAATTATGCCAAATAAATAAACATAAATAAATAAATACGTTAATGTTTCATCGAGTTATGGGTGTTTTTGTTTAAGCTGATCACCTTCCAGCTGCTACCATTGAGAGCGGTGGGGTCTGTTGTCTGAGGTAAGATGGCCGCCGTTTAGCTATGCCGTCGACTCCCGCTTTCGCCATCTAGTGTTTATATACATATCTATGTTAGTGAAGGCGGAGAAGAGGGTGAACAAGAGGAAAAACAGGCAGATTCCTCCTCTATTTACAAACTCCTGGGGATGCAACAAGTGGGCGTGGTGCATCCACTAACAAATCTGACGTCGACAAATGTTTAGAATCGAGTCGTCGATGTCATCGACGCTTCGTTACAGCTCTAGTCAGCATATTCAACTATGTAAAGAAAAAGTATTTAATGAGAATGTCTCATTCATTCACTTCTAGGATGTCTTTATTTTTTTGAGCAGTGTACTTTAATTATATGATGAAATTATATAACAATATAACCAATAAATAAAACAGGCCCTTACTTTTCCAACAGAGGGCAGTAGTCATATATATATATATATACATACAGGACTGATGATGATGAAGGTACTAATCCTTATACCCCATCTGGGTGCTTTAAGACCAGGAAAACTTTGATGTACATTTGTCTACGAGAAGTTAATGTTTTTTTAGGAAACTTTACCATGGTAACCATTTAAACTTGTGACCATTCCATCCCTAGAATAGTATTAATAAAATATTTACACAGTAAATAAAAGTCGCCCCCTACTAGAGTCTTACTCCACTCCCACTTCATCATTGAAAAATGCAGACCGAGAGGGCGGAGTCGCTTACCAATACACACACAGGCTCACAAGGACATTGTGACATCACAGTGTACCAACTAACGTCATAGGGTACCTCTTAGCTAATAGAAATGGCCGATTTAAATTCCAGTGCAGTGCAGAGTGTTTACCTGAAGACAGTACAACACTGACAGTTTTAGACCAAATATTTAAACTTTAACTAAGATGCACTAAAGTGCCAAATTATTGACTACACATGTCTACAGCACGACTAGACACTTGATTATTTAGTTTATCAGCTAAAAAAAGTTGATTTGGGATGACTTGCTCTTTAAAGACATGAATGTGGCTCTATGGCTACAAAGTCTTACACTCACTCTCTCTTCTTTTTATCTATGTGCACCAACATATCAGCTAATTTTGTTTTTGGTCCTCCTGGGGTTCTTGGTCCACCATGCCATCGCTGTTCGCCTGTTGACTGGAACAGCATTAAACCAAACCATGTTCAAGCCCTCGAGATGAATTTGACACCATCAAACTGCCCCACCATCATCCAGTAAGGATTTTTAGTTTTTGCTACACACTGATATAAATTGTCAGACAAGGAAGAAACACCAAGTTTTAACCTGTGTGTGTGTGTGTGTGTGTGTGTGTGTGTGTGTGTGTGTGCATATATATATATAGGGCTGCACAGTGGCGCAGTGGTTAGAAGTATGTTGCCTTGCAGCGAGAAGGTCCTGGGTTCGCTTCCCGGCCTAGGATCCTTCTGCATGGAGTTAGCATGTTCTCCCTGTGCATGCGTGGGTTCTCTCCGGGTTCCTCCCACAGTCCAAAAACATGACTGTTAGGTTGATTGGTCTGTCTAAATTGTCCTGAGGTGTGTGTGTGTGTGTGTGTGTGTGTGTGTGTGTGTGTGTGTGTGTGTGTGTGTGTGTGTGCATGATTGTTTGTCCTGTGTGTCTCCGTGTTGCCCTGCGATGGACTGGCTCTCTGTCCAGGGTGCACCCCGTCTGATTGCCCGTTGACGGCTGGAGATGGGCACCAGCCCCCCCCCACCCCCCCCCCCCCACCCACCCCGCGACCCCACGTGGACAAGCGGGATCAGAAAATGGATGGATGTGTATGCATTTATATGTGTGCGTGTGTGTAATTGAACAGCAGCCTGTGTGTTTGTGCCTCACAGAGTCAAGCTGACTGATGGAAAAGAGTTCTGTATGGATTCTTCCCAGCCGGATTTTATGGAGCATCTTAACATGTTGGAATCTCAGTAGAAAGGGCCTTAGATGTTGTCCATGGGGAGGTCCATTCACCCTCTTCTGCTTTATAACAATAAACAAATAGCTGCCATCTGTCGCCTTCATTCTGTTCAATAATAAAAGCATTGTTAAAGCGGGATTCAGATATTTGATGTTGTTTGCTGGTTGTTAGTCTCTGGCTTCATTCTTAACCCGTAAACATTTGAGTGATTCTACAAAAATCATCAGAAATGAAACGTATAGTTTTAAAAGAGAATTTTAAAGAGAAGTATAAAAGAATTATACTAATTAATTTCATGGAGGAGGAGGAAAAGTTGTAAGGGTGTTGCATTTGATTGTAATCGTCTATTGTTGGTGAACTGGGAGCTGTGGATATTGGAAGGGGATGGGGGTGGGGGGGTGAAACATTAAAAAATGTAAATTTGGTTTGTGTGATTGAGGATGACACGTTGTAAGAAAATGGCAATGACACTCAGTGTAGGGAATATATATATTTTTTGTTTTATATTTCTTGAAATTTGATTTGGAGGGGGGGGATTACAGGTGCTGGCCAGTAAATTAGAATATCATCAAAAGGTTGAAAATATTTCAGTAATTCCATTCAAAACGTGAAACTTGTACATTATATTCATGCAATGCACACAGACCAATGTATTTCCAATGTTCATTACATTTAAATTTGATATTTATAGGTGACAACCAATGAAAACATCAAATCTGGTATCTCAGAAAATTAGAATATTCTAAAGGCCAATGAAAAAATGTTTGTTTCTCTAATGTTGGCCAACTGAAAAGAATGAACATGAAAAGAATGTGCATGTATAGCACTCAATACTTAGTCGGGGCTCCTTTTGCCTCAATAACTGCAGTAATGCGGCGTGGCATGGACTCGATCAGTCTGTGGCACTGCTCAGGTGTTATGAGAGCCCAGGTTGCTCTGATAGTCGTCTTCAGCTCCTCTGCATTGTTGGGTCTAGCGTATTGCATCCTCCGCTTCACAATACCCCATAGATTTTCTATGGGGTTAAGGTCAGGCGAGTTTGCTGGCCAATCAAGGACAGGGATACCATGGTCCTTGAACCAGGTGCTGGTGGTTTTGGCACTGTGTGCAGGTGCCAAGTCCTGTTGAAAGGTGAAGTCTGCATCCCCATAAAGTTGGTCAGCAGCAGGAAGCATGAAGTGCTCTAAAACTTCCTGGTAGACGGCTGCATTGACCCTGGACCTCAGGAAACAGAGTGGGCCAACACCGGCAGATGACATGGCACCCCACACCATCACTGACGGTGGAAACTTTACACTGGACCTCATGCAACGTGGATTCTGTGCTTCTCCGCTCTTCCTCCAGACTCTGGGTCCTTGATTTCCAAAGGAAATGCAGAACTTGCTTTCATCAGAAAACATAACTTTGGACCACTCAGCATCAGTCCAGTCCTTTTTGTCCTTGGCCCAGGCGAGACGCTTCTTGCGCTGTTTCTTGTTCAAGAGTGGCTTGACACACGGAATGCGACACCTGAATCCCATGTCTTTCATGAGTCTCCTCGTGGTGGTTCTTGAAGCGCTGACTCCAGCTGCAGTCCACTCTTTGTGGATCTCCCCCACATTTTTGAATGGGTTTGTCGTCACAATTCTCTGCAGGGTGCGGTTATCCCTAGAGCTTGTACACTTTTTTCTACCACATTTTTTCCGTCCCTTCGCCTGTCTGTTAATGTGCTTGGACACAGAGCTCTGCGAACAGCCAGCTTCTTTAGCAATCACCTTTTGTGTCTTGCCCTCCTTGTGCAAGGTGTCAATGATTGTCTTTTGGACAGCTGTTAAGTCAGAAGTCTTCCCCATGATTGTGGTGCCTTCAAAACAAGACTGAGGGACCTTTTAAAGGCCTTTGCAGGTGTTTTGAGTAAATCAGCTGATTAGAGTGGCAGCAGGTGTCTTCTATATTCAGCCTTTTCAGAATATTCTAATTTTTTGAGATACCAAATTTGGAGTTTTCATTAGTTGTCACTTATGAATATCAAATTTAAATGTAATGAACATTGGAAATACATTGGTCTGTGTGCATTGCATGAATATAATGTACAAGTTTCACGTTTTGAATGGAATTACTGAAATATTTTCAACCTTTTGATGATATTCTAATTTACTGGCCAGCACCTGTATATAAGCTACCAGAGCTTCTTTCCCTTCCTATTGAACATGTTCTACATGTATATGCATATACATATGTATGGGTTTCTTTCTGAATACTTTTTGAATACTTTAAATTGTCTATTGATTTACATGTTCAATAAAGAAAGAACAAAAAAAAAATTCTAATTGTGTTGGTGTTTATGAAATACAGCATTATTATTATAATATTCTGTAATTCTCATGATTTTATGTATAAAAATGAGCTGATTAGATGAGAGAAGTTATGGACGGCTCAGAACTTTTTGTTCCTCAACCAGAATAAAACCGAGACTATCCTGTTCTGCCTGAAATACAAACATGGATGTGCCCAAGGGATTGACTCTCCTTCATTAGCACCTTTTGAGAAGACGGTGGTCACCAACCTGGGGGTGAAGTTGGATGTAGAGCTCACACTGGACACCCAGGTCAATGGAACGATCAGATCCTGCTACTTCCATCTCAGGAGAATAGCTAGGATTAAGCCGCTGCTATCTCTGAAACATCTGGAAACTGTCATCCACGCCTTCATTACCACCAGACTGGACTACTGTAACTCGCTTTATGCAGGCATCAAGCAGGCCTCCATAACGAAACTGCAGAAGGTCCAAAACGCGGCAGCCAGGTTACTGACTGGTACCAGGACATCTGAACACATCACGCCCGTCCTGGCATCCCTACACTGGCTTCCAGTCTCCTTTAGAGTTTCATTTAAAGTTCTGGTGTTTGTTTTTAAATGTTTACATGAGTTGGCTCCACGTTATCTATCGGATCTGATCCATCCTTATGTTCCCTCAAGGAACCTTCGGTCAGCACAGCAAGGACTGTTGGTCGTTCCTAAACACAGACTACAATCTCGAGGGGGTCGTGCTTTCTCGGTGCTGGGGCCGAGGCTCTGGGATGAGCTACCTGCATGTGTTAAACAGGCCACCACGCTCGGCAAGTTTAAGAGCCGTCTGAAAACTCACTTTTATTCTTTAGCTGTTATTCAGGAAGAGTCTCGTTAACTGATGGCTCTGCACTTTTTGCTGCCCCACCTGGATTTTATCTGCATGTTTTTGTTGGTTTTAAATGGTTTCATATGTTTTTATTTTTTAGGTTTATTTCTGCTGTGCAGCGCTTTGTTTGGTCCGTGTGAAGGCGCTATATAAATAAAGTTTAGTACTAGTAGTATAGATTTTATAAATTTTTTTTCTCTTTTATGTAGAAGTCTCATTTCTGGGGAGATGAATCTAGATTAAAGGCACATGTCACCACCCCTGACACAAGCCTGCAGACAAAACCCTTACGTAGATATTAGGTGACCGAGACAGGAAGAGACTGAACAAGCTAGTTCACAAAGCTAGCTCGGTTCTGAGCTGCCCGCTGGATTCAGTTGAGGAGACGTGTGAAAGGAGGATGCTGGTGAAAATGGCCTCCATCTAAAAGAAACTCCCACCCACTGCATCCCACTGTGGAGACCACGGACAGCTCCTTCAGAGGCAGACGGAGACATCCCAGATGTAAAACAGAACGCTACCGTAGGTCATTCATCCCCTCTGCTGTAAGAGTGTAGACCTCCTCAGTTTAACTGGTACTGGCATTATCCTGGTACACAATACCACCAGTGCAATACTCAGTATGTGTTCAATACTCATGCAATACCGGAGTTACACATTGCAGTGTCTATTGCAGTATGCTGCATAGTGTTGGAACCCAAGTGTTTTCTTTTATTTTTTGTGATTTTTATTGGTGGAAGGTTACAATACTAGATTTCCGCCGATGTGAATATACATGCACCTTTGTTATTATTTATCTTCAAATTATTCTCTTAAAGAGCAAGTCACCCCCTACAAGAAGCGTACTTCACTCCCACTTCATGTTTGAAAAATGCAACAAATGCTGTTGCCTGGCAGACCGAGAGGGCGGAGCCGCTAACAAATACACACACACAGGCTCACAATGGCATTATGACATCATAATGTACCAGATGACATCATAGCATACCTCTTAGCCAATAGCGGTGGCAGGCTTAAATTCAAATACAGTGCAGAATTTTTCCCTGACGACGGCGCAACACTGACAGTTTTAGGCAGAATATTTTAATTTTAACCAAGATGCACTGAAGTGCCAAATTACTGACTACACGTGTCTGCAGCATGATTAGATACTCCTTTATATAGTTTATCAGGGGAAAAAAATGTGATTTGGGGGTGACTTGCTCTTTAAGTGTTTGCGCTGCTCATAGGCGTCATTTTAACCGGGGACGCCGGGGACATGTCCCCGGCAAAATTCGTGATCGGCAGCTGTGTCCCCCCCCACTTTCAAAAAAGCCTGCTGATGAGGATTTTTGTTTTACCTGCTCAGATCTTATACCAGGGGTCGGTAACCTGTTCCCATCAAAGAGCCATTATTACCCATTTCCCACGGTAAAGAAAACACCGCAGCAGCCGCAGCGTTGCGGGCGGGGCCTACCCTCAGACAGCAGAGCGCTGCTCACAACAGGTGACAGCAGCCGGGGGCATCGCACCCGTGGGGGATTCAACACCCACACTTTTCCAGCTGTTTTGCTCACCTCCACACCTGTCTGGTTTCTTTACGTCGCACTCACTCTGTTTGCCTCATCTCCTTCTTCACCTCCCAGCCGATGTCGGGTTTCCAGGAGAGCAGGAGAGGGAGGGACGGAAGAGCTCGACTGAATTCATAATTTTACATCTTGAATTTAGCTGTACAAAGTCTGAGTTTGATAAAGTGAAGAACAACAATTTGCAGAGGTTTATAACTGGCGCGGCGCCAGGTTTTCATTTTTGGGTGGGCAACGGTAATTTTGGACGGACCTTAATAAGCAGCGACTTAAGTGAAGCAGGCAGGTCGCGCTAGAAAATTTAGTTTAAAAAGACATCATAAATGTTTTCCCCCGTCATTTTTATTTCTAAAATATGAAGTAAAAACTCACATTTTAATTTTCATTCATTTGTCATTAATATTTAGTCTACAACCGTGCGTTAAGTGGACCAACTTCCAGTAAACGCAAAGCATCCAGTCCACCTCTCCAAATGCGTAAAATGTGCATCAGCCGCTAGTTAGGCGCGCCGCGCGCACCGTCAGCTGATCAGCCCAGACAAAAGCAGAGCAAATAGAGAAAGAATAGAGGATGATTGTGTCTGGATGTGGATGGAGATTACATTTTACAGCAGCCTGATCATCATTTAAATACGTAAACCATCACCTGTCTTCTATCCACGCTATCAGCATTATATTAATTGGTGTGTGTGTGTGTGTGTGTGTGTGTGTGTGTGTGTGTGTGTGTGTGTGTGTGTGTGTGTGTGTGTGTTTTCCACTTCAAACACTGGTCTAACCAACCAGACCAGCGTGTCCAGTAACACATTAATGTTACAATTAAACTTGATTAACCCCAGAGCCGTGCGCACTGCACTGTACTGACTGTAAATGAGGGGGAAACTATTTAATCGGATCCTTTACTTTTCAACATGGTTTAATGTAAAGTTTCATTCAGTACAAACTTTAGTTACACCAATCTAACGAGACAGAGCCTAGATTTGTATTCTGAACAGTTTAAACATGTTTGAAACGGAGACGTGCGTGACGCGTCTAAAATTCGCACCTGCTCCGCTATTATGGAAATTAAACTAACAAGATGAATAACATGAAATTATTTTAGGCACAGACAACATCCCCCACACTTTTGAAAAGCTTGCAACGCGCCTGATCGCTCATGTACGTCTTAATTATCTTTCATTAGACGATAATCAATAAAACAATTTATATAAAATGGATCCAGAAGTTGTAGCCCGTCTCTGCCTTCAATTTTTGGTATTTTTCACCCTGTTGGTGGTTTTACTGAGCAGGTGCCACTTTTGTCCTATGTTTCTTTTTAAAACATGTTTAGACTGTTCAGAATACAAATCCAGGCTCTGTCACGTTTGATTGGTGTAATTAAACTTTGTAGGTGGGGAAGGTCAGAAAGCAGCTCAGAAGCGCCGATATGATTACGCACAAGCGTGACGCATCAACCCGGTCTCACAGTAAGACCGGGTTGGAACTGTTCAGGTTTACGCAGACAATCTTTATATTTAGAATTGGCTTACAGATGTAAAATTAATGCAGTAAAATATAAAGCTTTTTATTTAAATATCCATTCATTATTTCACAAGCACAGAGAGCCGCATCAGAAGGATGGAAGAGCCGCATGCGGTTCCAGAGCCGCCGACCCCTGTGCTAGCCTACTTTATTGTCCCCAGCAATTCTGAAAACAAACTGACGCCCTTGGCGCTGCTGTAGCAAGCTAATTTCTGCCCTGCAGGATCAATAAAGTCTTTTCTGTTCTACAGAGCCTGGGCCCTGAACCTGGGAGGAATTTGACACCTTATTATGTCCATGATACTCCTGAGGAGTCTTGTAAACGCTCTGAAGTTGTAACTTTGTCCTACAACAACACAACCAGTACCAGTGTGTCACTGGTTTATAAATGTTGTCTCCATTTTCTTCCTCCATTGCTCACATTTGAAGACTGTCTCAGCTTGCTGGACCTTCAGAGTCTCCAGATGCTTCTCCAGCTGTTCTGAAGCATCCACAGTGTCCTCAAAGTCCTGCAGCAGGACTCTGTTCCCCAGGAGTCCACACTGCTCCTTCAGCCTCAGGTTGTCCCGCTGGACTCTGGTTCGGTCCTGCCTGGTTTGGCTCAGAAGGTCTTTCTTCGTAGCCACCATGGCCTCCACCTCTGCCAACTGCTGCCGTCTTGACTGGACCTCCATCTGACCCCAGAACAACTTCTCTTTGATGTTTGACAGGAGCTGATGCAACAGCAAAGACAGAACCATAGGAGAAATCAGCAAGATGTAAACTTTGACTCACACGTTTGGGTTTCGCTGCACTAATGGGTTCATCACATTACCTCCAAGCAGCAGCTGATCTTCTTCTGCAGTTTTAGTGATTCTTCATTTTCTTTCTCAGCCTGTTGTTTCTGCTTCAGCCTTTCAGCCCACAGCTGCTCAAACCGGACCTGTAGGGGATCCCTGCTGTCTTTATTTCTCTCACGGAGCTCTGCCTCCAGCCTGTGGACCTTCAGCTTCAACTTGAAGTGCTTGAGGCGCACCTTGGTCAGCTCGTCCTGCCGAATCTGCGCTGCAACCAGGACCGACTTGACTTTGGCCCGAGCTGCTTCCTTCCCCAGGCGACGACTAAGCGCCGCCTCAGCTGCATCCTGCTTCAGAGCCACCAGTGCCTGCCAGTCCTTTTCCACCTGAAGGCACACATTTAAAATATTGTCAGAGTCAGGTTAACTTAATACAGCTCATCTAACAAATCTGTAATGTCTCTCTCTGGTCAATAAAAAATCCTACATCTTCTATAGTTCAGGTTTTAGGTCCTGAGTGACAAAATGACCGTTATGTAATTGTGCGGCGCCCAAAACAGCAAACTAACAAGCTTTTTTACACTAAAGTCAGAGACGGCAGCAGTCTGTATGAGCTGTCTTCAGACCTGGTCCATCTTCTCCTGTGCCAGCATCTCCAGCTCCTCTGCCTGCCTCTGGGCTGACTCGGAAGCAGATCTGAGCTGAAGCTTCAGGTCAGTCAGGGCTTGGAGGTGCTTCTCATACTCATGCTGCCCTGATGCTGACCACTCCTGATGAACATCCTTGTTTGCTCTCCTTTGGAAGTATCCTGCCAACTTCATTTGCAGCTGTTGGTTTAGCTGGTGGGCTTCCTCTCTCTCCTGGTTCTCCAGGAGCTGCACCAACCCTTTGTGCTCTTCTTTGTCTGCAAGTGCTGCAGGCACCTCCTCCTCGTCCTCCTCCTGTGCAGGACAGATGGGCTCCTTGTCAGGGGTCTGAAAGTTGATCCCCGAGGGTCCATCATGGTCACTCTGCAGGTGTTCATTTGTTTTGTTCATGTCCACATCGAGCTCTTTACTTGTGGTGGGACCACTGCCCTCCTCTGGCTCACAGGATGCTGCTTCTTCAACAAAGAGCCTATTTATGACTTTCCCACTGACAGAGAGTGCCTCGTGTGCTAATATTCCAGCTGAAACGTGCTCTTCCTCATCTTCATTAACATTATTAGGAGCATTATTCTTTTCTTCATTCTGTAACTCTCTACTCATTTTTAATAATAAAAAATAAAGTTAGAATGTATTAAATGGCATTTGTTTGGAGTTAAACGGCTCGCGCAGTTCTGTTGTCAATGAAACTATTCGTTTAGTTTCCGTTGTCCTGGAAACTGGGACCAGGAACCAATCACAGGAGCTCTGTGACGCTCATGAATATTAATTAGGAAGGTGGGTGTGCAGCGCGAGCAGTGAGGCACGTAGTGCGCAGGCGCGAGGTCCTGCCTTCTACAACAAGAAGCAAGAGCCAGGCAAGATGGCCGACCTGGGGAAGAAGTACTGCGTTAACTGCCTCGCGGATGTTACAAACCTGCGGCTTCGCTGCACCGACTGCCCCGATATCGAGCTGTGTCCCGAGTGCTTTTCGGCAGGTGCAGAAATCGGTAATCACCGGAGATGGCATGGCTACCAGCAGGTCGACGGCGGTCTGTTCTCACTCTGGGGTCCCGAAGCAGAGGGAGGATGGACCAGCAGGGAAGAGCAGTCGCTCCTCGATGCCATCGAGCAGTATGGATTTGGAAACTGGGTACATCACTTTTATTCACAAATACTCACTAAAGTTTAGTTTTAATGTTTATAGAAAGAAAAAAAGTTTAACAAGAACCAAAAAAAAAAGGGCCACGACGTCTGTAACTTTCAGGAGAACAACTGTCTGTATGATTTGGTACACTCACAGTAAAATACGAGCTAGATCAATAATTTGTTGTTTCTGACTTCTCATAGAGTTGTGACCAGAGCTAGCATAAACTAACTGTAAATATAAATGAAAAGCTGACTTATTACAAGATTTAGATGTTTTCAGGTGTCGACAAGCTCAGCAGTTATGAGGATGTGGAAAAGAAAACTATTCAGTAGAAATCCTAACTCACTAAAAGTGTTCTAATCTAAAAGCAGAGTTTTGTGCTGTTAAGGAAGGATGTTTCTGTTTAAATATTAATTAAATTCTATAGAACCACCTCATTCATCTTTATACTATAATTAGTTTCTTTACCATAAAAACAGGAGTTTTTAGAAGAAGAAAAAAATATCCTTTTAAATGTTTAAATGAGTTGTCTTCACGTTATCTATCAGATCTGATCCATCCTTATGTTCCCTCAAGGAACCTTCGGTCAGCACAGCAAGGACTGATGGTCGTTCCTAGCTAGGGTTTCCTGTTAGGGGTATTCCTGCTAGGACAAGCTGGTTCCCAAAGTCAGAGACTCTCTTGGTCAGCTTGCTTCCCACACCAAACCTTCTGTCAGGAATCTTGGCGTGGCCTTTGACCCAGCTCTCACCCTGGATTCTCATGTCAGTTCTCTTGTTCGCTCATCCTTCTTCCATCTCAGGAACGTTGCTAAGCTGAGTCCCATTCTGTCCCGCTCTGAACTTGAGACAGTTCTCCACACCTTCATCTCCTCACGCTTAGACTACTGTAACTCTCTTTTCACGTGTCTGAGCAGAACCTCCCTGAACCGTCTACAGGTGGTTCAGAACGCCTGTGCTCGGCTTCTGACCAAGTCCTCCAAACACACCCACATCACCCCGCTTCTCCTCCAGCTTCACTGGCTGCCAGTCAACTTCAGGGTTCATTTCAAGATCCTGGTTCTGGTCTATAGGGCCTTACATGGACAAGCACCATCTTACATTGGTGATCTTCTTAGTCCCTACACCCCCAGCAGGTCCCTGAGGTCCAGTGATCAAAGCCTACTGGTTGTGCAGCACCAGGCTAAAGGTCAAAGGTGACAGATCATCTGCTGCTGTGGCCCCCAGACTCTGGAACTCTCTCCCCCTGAGCCTGAGATCAGTGGACTCAGTGGTCTCCTTTAAAAAGCAGCTGAAGACTCACTTGTTCAGGCTGGCTTTTGTATGACCTTCTTCACCTCTCTCTTTATTCTGCTCTCCCCACCTATTCCACCTTCCTCAGATCCACTGGTTTCCCTCTTTCCTGTTCACTCTCCCTCTTTCTTAACTTTTTTCTTTTAAATTGCAATTGCTTATTCTTGCTCATGTTAAATATATTTTTAAACATTTTCGAAATGCTTTTTTATATTTTTACATTTTTTATATTTGTTTTTGTGAAGTGCCTCGTGATTTTTATCATGAGAGGCGCTATAGAAATGATATTTTCTTCTTTTTCCTTTCTATAGCGCCTCTCAAGATAAAAATCACGGGGCGCTTCACAAAAACAAAAAAATGTAAAAATACAAAAAAGAATTTAGAAAATGGTTAAAAATATATTCAAAATGTGCAAAAAATAGACAATTGTGATTAAAAAAATAAAAGACCAGGGGACTCATTTATAAAGCTTGTTCCCGCTCAGAAGGGGGTCTGAAAACTGCGTAAGTTAGCCTGCAGAAAGATTTTACAGAAAGACTTTGGACCTGGTGTAAATACATGTTGGAGATATGTTTACATGCATAAAAAACAACTTCAGCCAACATAAGGCAATTGTGTTTTACTGTTGCTGCATGTAAATGCACAGAGGGATGATTGGATTTTCCTCTGTTTAATTTCCGCTGTAAATAATCTAATAATGTATAAAGCAGTGGTTCTCAATCCTTTGTTCTGGAGGGCCGGTATCCAGCATGTTTTAGTTTCATCTTACCAGCACCCTAAACTGTTTTTGGGTCACCAACAATCTAAAGTGTGTGTTTTGGTCACCAGCACCATAAACTGTGTGTTTAGGTCACCAGCACCCTAAACTGTGTGTTTGGGTCACCAACACCCTGAACTGTGTTTTTGGGTCACCAACACCCTGAACTGTGTTTTTGGGTCACCAGCACCATAAACTGTGTGTTTGGGTCACCAGCACCCTAAACTGTGTTTTTGGGTCACCAACACCCTAAACTGTGTGTTTGGGTCACCAACACCCTGAACTGTGTTTTTGGGTCACCAACACCCTGAACTGTGTTTTTGGGTCACCAGCACCATAAACTGTGTGTTTGGGTCACCAGCACCCTAAACTGTGTGTTTGGGTAACCAGCACCATAAACTGTGTGTTTGGGTCACCAGCACCCTAAACTGTGTGTTTGGGTCACCAACACCCTAAACTGTGTGTTTGGGTCACCAACACCCTAAACTGTGTGTTTGGGTCACCAACACCATAAACTGTGTGTTTGGGTCACCAATAGCCTAAACTGTGTGTTTGGGTCACCAACAATCTAAAGTGTGTGTTTGGGTCACCAACACCATAAACTGTGTTTTTGGGTCACCAGCACCATAAACTGTGTTTTTGGGTCACCAGCACCATAAACTGTGTTTTTGGGTCACCAGCACCATAAAGTTTGTGTTTAGGTCACCAACAATCTTAAGTGTGTGTTTGGGTCACCTGCACCCTAAACTGTGTGTTTAAGCCACCAACACCCTAAACTTTGTGTTTGGGTCACCAACACCCTAAACTGTGTGTTTGGGTCACCAGCACCCTAAACTGTGTTTTTGGGTCACCAACACCCTAAACTGTGTGTTTGGGTCACCAACACCCTAAACTGTGTTTTTGGGTCACCAACACCCTGAACTGTGTTTTTGGGTCACCAGCACCATAAACTGTGTGTTTGGGTCACCAGCACCCTAAACTGTGTGTTTGGGTCACCAGCACCATAAACTGTGTGTTTACGTCACCAACACCCTAAACTGTGTGTTTACGTCACCAACACCCTAAACTGTGTGTTTGGGTCACCAACACCCTAAACTGTGTGTTTGGGTCACCAACACCATAAACTGTGTGTTTGGGTCACCAATAGCCTAAACTGTGTGTTTGGGTCACCAACAATCTAAAGTGTGTGTTTGGGTCACCAACACCATAAACTGTGTTTTTGGGTCACCAGCACCATAAACTGTGTTTTTGGGTCACCAGCACCATAAACTGTGTTTTTGGGTCACCAGCACCATAAAGTTTGTGTTTAGGTCACCAACAATCTTAAGTGTGTGTTTGGGTCACCTGCACCCTAAACTGTGTGTTTAAGCCACCAACACCCTAAACTTTGTGTTTGGGTCACCAACACCCTAAACTGTGTGTTTGGGTCACCAGCACCCTAAACTGTGTTTTTGGGTCACCAACACCCTAAACTGTGTGTTTGGGTCACCAACACCCTGAACTGTGTTTTTGGGTCACCAGCACCATAAACTGTGTGTTTGGGTCACCAGCACCCTAAACTGTGTGTTTGGGTCACCAGCACCATAAACTGTGTGTTTACGTCACCAACACCCTAAACTGTGTGTTTGGGTCACCAACACCCTAAACTGTGTGTTTGGGTCACCAACACCATAAACTGTGTGTTTGGGTCACCAATAGCCTAAACTGTGTGTTTGGGTCACCAACACCATAAACTGTGTTTTTGGGTCACCAGCACCATAAACTGTGTTTTTGGGTCACCAGCACCATAAAGTTTGTGTTTAGGTCACCAACAATCTTAAGTGTGTGTTTGGGTCACCTGCACCCTAAACTGTGTGTTTAAGCCACCAACACCCTAAACTTTGTGTTTGGGTCACCAACGCCCTAAACTTTGTGTTTGGGTCACCAACACCCTAAACTGTGTGTTTGGGTCACCAACACCATAAACTGTGTGTTTGGGTCACCAACACCCTAAACTTTGTGTTTGGGTCACCAACACCCTAAACTTTGTGTTTGGGTCACCAACACCCTAAACTGTGTGTTTGGGTCACCAACACCATAAACTGTGTTTTTGGGTCACCAACAATCTAAAGTGTGTGTTTAGGTCACCTGCACCCTAAACTGTGTGTTTGGGTCACCAGCACCCTAAACTGTGTGTTTGGGTCACCAACACCATAAACTGTGTGTTTGGGTCACCAGCACCATAAACTGTGTGTTTAGGTCACCAACACCATAAACTGTGTGTTTGGGTCACCAGCACCATAAACTGTGTGTTTAGGTCACCAACACCATAAACTGTGTGTTTGGGTCACCAGCACCATAAACTGTGTGTTTAGGTCACCAGCACCCTAAACTGTGTGTTTGGGTCACCAGCACCCTAAACTGTGTGTTTGGGTCACCAACACCATAAACTGTGTGTTTGGGTCACCAACACCATAAACTGTGTGTTTGGGTCACCAACACCCTAAACTTTGTGTTTGGGTCACCAACACCCTAAACTTTGTGTTTGGGTCACCAACACCCTAAACTTTGTGTTTGGGTCACCAACACCCTAAACTTTGTGTTTGGGTCACCAACACCCTAAACTGTGTGTTTGGGTCACCAACACCATAAACTGTGTGTTTGGGTCACCAACACCCTAAACTTTGTGTTTGGGTCACCAACACCCTAAACTTTGTGTTTGGGTCACCAACACCCTAAACTGTGTGTTTGGGTCACCAACACCATAAACTGTGTTTTTGGGTCACCAACAATCTAAAGTGTGTGTTTAGGTCACCTGCACCCTAAACTGTGTGTTTGGGTCACCAACACCATAAACTGTGTGTTTAGGTCACCAACACCATAAACTGTGTGTTTGGGTCACCAGCACCATAAACTGTGTGTTTAGGTCACCAGCACCCTAAACTGTGTGTTTGGGTCACCAGCACCATAAACTG